CACCCTAGTCACAGGTAACTTTGACTACAAAGAGAGAAGTGGATAAGAAGCAAAATATTTTACAGGGTGAGAAATTAGAGCAAAAAAAGTGCAGGCTAATTCGTTAAAACCCCTCACCTTTTGAATTGGAGCCTTGCTTTCACTTTGACCCAGTGTACCACCCCTCTTCGATCGCCTGCCCCACTTTCTGGGTCTAGCGGTCAAATCTAGCACAAGGTTGCCCTTTTCCAAACAGAAGGTCAGGTCCAAGAGTTGAGGAGGATTAGTGAATGGCATCGAACCGGCTCCTGGGCCGTGGGTCACCAGATGATGAAAAGCTCTAACACCACCCCGTGAAGTCCAATGACCTAAAAGAGATTCAAGGACTTCCCAAGAGGTCGGAACAGGATAAAGAGTGGTTTCTTCCATCATTCCAACATGCATAGCCATCCAACCATCGTAGGGGGAGAGAAGCGTCTGTGGTTGACCTGGTAGAGCGTCTCCCCCAAAACGGAGAGTTATTAGGAAGGCGGGGGAAGAGAGGGGAGTTGAGATATCACCGATGTCGAGTTTCACTTCATCTTTACTGTTATCACTATCAGCTGGATCATCTTCAAGGTCGTCGGGATCGAAAAAGTTGACAGAAGTAATTCCAACCCAAAGCCGGGCCTCAATAGTTGAAATATCTGTTGAATCGAAAGAATGAGCTATGAAGCGTGCAAACATCGATGATAAGTCACAGGAAAATTGTAAACCACTCTATCGGCACATAAGCGCTGTGATTTTGTTATCTTTCACTCATTTGCTCCATCCTACACCCAGTCTAACATGTCCGCAATGATTAATAGCTGCGTCTTCTACAATCAACTTATATTTACCTAAAGTTCCAAAAGTGAATAAAAATAGTTTATAAAAGCCAGAAGTCATGAAATTAAAACGGCGAAGGCAATGATATCTCAAATTGCTAAGATATTTTAATTTCGGGGTGTGCGATAGACTTACATCCATGTGGTGTACCCTGGGCAACGTATATTCATACGCAAAAAAGTCTATTGACTGGCAGTTGACTTCTCACTTCAAACTACCATCACCTCACTCTATGCCATATTCGAATATTTCACAGTACTCACCTCACCTTTGTGTTTGTCTCTTACATCTTTGAAACACTCTTCTGTTCCCCCCCACCCCCTATCGACTTTTTCAAATTGATGTTCCTTCCCCTCTGTGAAGCCTGAAGTCAACTAAAGGGCTAATGATAACCATCAAGACGCCTGCCATTTGATATAACTAAATAAACTTTGGATGATTTTCAAGCGTGCTTTAACAAGACTATAGACAGGTCTTGAAAACACCCAAAAGCTTTATCCATAAGGCTTATTCGAGCACCGCTAGTCTTACCTTCATAATAGTGTCTGTAACAAAATACCTAATAAATTTAAGTGACATGCCCGAGTACGGAAATATATCAACCAGCCAATAATCAACGAAGTTCGTGGACATAACTCCACTCATTAATCCAAGAGTCCATTTCTGATGTTTGAGTATTAGGGTATGAAAACAGGCGCCTGCCTCTCTGTGAGAATGCGGCAATGCGATATAATAATAATAATTCGAAAAGTAGAATTCTTGATGCCATGGAAATATTACCCGCTCCTACTTCAACCATTCACATTTTAAACATCAGTTGACTCGTTTGGCATTCCTCTTAGTTAGATGCTTCCATACGATTAAACCTATTAGAATATTAGTGTGCAATTATAATTGAAACATCATATCAATACCTACCAGCATCGATTGAGAGCCCTTCCAAATCTAACATAAGTCGTTGAACCTTCCATGGGGGGAAATTCACAGCCTGCTCTTCACACGTAACGGTGTTGGGCTGCTCTTCAAACTCCGCACTGTTAGCGATATCAACACCCATTTCACCAGGAAGGATTTCGTCAAAGTTGTTTGGAAAGACTTCATTGAAAATCTCATCATCCGAAAGGATGAGTTCGAAGGAATCTGAATCATCCACAACGGAACTCTGCAATGAGAAATAACAAAATGAGGGCAATCTATGTGGATCCATTGTAACTCCATATGATAACAGATTCTACCACAGGCGGCCTTAGAGTTCTAATCGGTAAATAAAAACCATCTGTTTCACCTTGACAATGATGCTCCAGTTCCGCTTCTAGCTAACTCAACACTGTACCATGATGACGGATGGTATTTAATACGGGGTCCTGTTAGACCAAAATCCACTTCAAATATTGCAGGAGGCAAGAATAGTTTAAGTTATGGATTTCCGCCTTTGAAAATATGACTTTTCATTGGGCTCATCCTATAGACTATGTTGGCTAGAGTTATTAGAGTGCATTGGGTTCAATTGGAATTTTTAAAGCTAGTGAATGACCCATGAAACTAAATTTAGATTTTCATGCTGAAAGTCTTGCGTACTCAATTAAATTTTTTTATAATCCTTACTTCGGGGTGTGCGATAGACTTACCTCCACGTGGTGCATCCTGGGCAACGTATACTCATACGGCAAAGTCTATTAACCGGCAGTTGACTTCTGGCTTCTAACTACCATCACCCCACTGTATGTCATATTCGACTATTTCCACAGTACTCACCTCACCTTTTTCCTACCTCTGTGTCTGTCTCTTTTACATCTTTGAAACACTCTTCTATTCCCCCCCTCTCGAATTTTTTTCACTTTGAAATTTCTTCTTTTCTGTGAGGTCTGAAGTCACCTAAAGGGCTAATGAAGCTATCAAAAAGCCTGCCATTTGACATAAATAAATAAATAATCCTTACTTCACATCCCACTGCTAATTCGCTTAATGTATGTATCCTTACCCGGAAAAATTTTTTATATCTTGCGCTATTTTAGTGGAAAGGTGTTGAGGCAATTGAAAAGTTCCATATTGCAGAAAACACTAACATTGACATTAGTGAACTTGTTGAGTTCAAAAAGGTAATATTTGAGGAAGCTTACAATACTGTGAGAAACAGGCGGACAAACTGCGAAGAGTTCGGAAGAACTACTAGGCAATCCCGAATCCTTAAGAACTCCCGTAGCTTGAAGTTCTTGAGAAGTAGCACCATAGACAATAGGGCGTTCAGAGATCAACGAATTCTTGCGAATATCACCGTCAGAACTTAGTGTGCCATTCGTATCACCTTCTACCTCAGATTTCAACAAAGAATTGGTAAGGGGTTTCGTCGAGCTACACGAAGATAGAGAAGACAAAGCTCCTTCATTCTCACTGACATGGAAATCTGCAGGAGGATCAATGTATCTTGAATCCAACGTACTTCTCACCTCGACCTCAACGCCATGAGTAATTAGACACTTAGCAGTGATTAACCATTCATGGTATCTCTTCACTTGGCCATTTTCCTCCTTCCTCGCCATGATGTCATATGAATCCAACCCCATACTGGCCTTGAGTCGAGCTAATCGAAATGCGATCCCATATAGAAATACCAAATGGTCGATAGCGTCGGGCAAACGAAGACGTTCCACAGGACAAAAAGTGAAAACAGCTCCCGAGTGGCCTATTGTGAAATGAAGAGGTTTAGACCTATTAGAAGAGGATAGGTTTGAGGACATGGAAAAGAAGTTGGCAGATGTGTCAAGATCAATTAGAAGTGAGATTGGGGCGGGAAGGGAAGGTGGAGAAGTGAGACTTCGACCGAGGTCAGGGCTCCAGGTTACAGAATAACGAGGTGTGGAGGGTGGACGAAACCACAAGGGCCAAGAGGGAGCTAGAGCCCAACAGGTGAAAGGTGCAGGATCAAAGAAAGCTTGGCGGTAGGTTTTGAAAGCGGGAGTTCCAGTAGGATGACGCTGGGCGGCTTCGCAGATTGTAAGAAACTCAGCCCAGACGCTAGGACAATGCAGACAAAATAACAGACCAGTGGATTTTGGAGGGTTTGAGAGCTGAAAATAGGAAGATGTAATGTTTGCAATTAAACCATTCTACTTAATTATCTTAAGCAGTAGTAGCGTATTCAGCTGGGTTCCTAAAGGAGCGAAGTGGCTTGTTCAGAACATCAAAGCTTGGAGTTATTACCCTAACATGGGATTTTAAGAAGCAAATCACTAACTTAGAAATGATAAAAATAGTCTATTGAATCATATTGATTACTTCTAACACATGATCGAAATGAACTACGACGTGAAGTGTACACTTCCACTTGAACTGTTTTAATTTTTCGCTATAACAGCGAGAACCAGTCTTCAAATTTTTTCTGACCGCGATTTCAGTTCGTTAGCCGAAAGGAAAGAAATGGTTTAAATAGATTGGTCTGTATTTTTCCTACAACTATTTCTTTGTCGTTTCTGCCCTCAATCAAATATCAACCTTCTCCTCAATCGCGCATGTCTAGACGGGTTGAATGGATCAAGCTTATTTCTAAATACAATGGTTCACAGGTGACAGAAACGAACTCTTAAAAGGATGGAAGAAATAACCTTTACGGGTGCAAAACAGCGTATAGAACCCGTGAGCGCTGATTCAGACCTGCTCTACCACATTACCCAATTGTTGGGCGAAATTAGTCAATCGCTTTATCGCACCTTATTACGCCTATTCTTAAAAAATGGACTATCCTCGTTAAGTACAGTACACCACCCAACTAACGCACATCAAATTAAGGATTTGAGGTGGAATAAGTAAGTTCTTCCCAAATGAATACAACCTTACCGAGTTAAGCGAGACCTGTTCCACAAATTCTCGGAAGAGAGCAAAGTCTGGAAGAATGTGGTCTCGACCCCAAGCGGGTGAAGGCCGTCTTTGTTTCTTCAATTTGTCTAAAAGAGCTGACAGCGCTTTGGTCATCGGGGCAGTTATGGGTGGAGGCACTGTCTGCAATATCACCTGATCGATCTATAATATAACATTGAACATTACTTTCCCTCATAATTTGAGCTCCCAATTAACAGTAATTAGCGGTAATACAAACAACTCGTAAGCCATGATATTTGATGACTCTATAAAATGAATGTTTAAGCATATATTAGAATTATTTAGGCAAGTGAATATGATAGTTAATAATCAAGATGGAGAAGTGTCCGATAGACTTACCTCCACGTGTTGCACCCTGGGCAACGTGTACTCATCATACGGCAAAAAATTTTATTATTCGGCAGCTGACTTCGGACTTCAAACTACCATCACCCCACTCTATGTCATATTCCACCACTTCCACAGTGCTCGTCTTACCCTACTCTCGACCTTTGTGTCTGTCTCTTACATCTTTGAAACACTCTTCTGTACCCCCTCCCCCTCGACTTTATTCCACTTTGATTTTCCTTCCCCTCTGTGAAGCCCGAAGTCAACTAAAGGGCTATTGATAACTATCAAAACGCCTGCCATTTGAAATAATTTTTTTTTGATAACTATCAAAACGCCTAACAAATAGCAATTTAAAGCTTCTATGTCAAAAAGCGGTTAGCGCACACGTAGTAGGGATGTTTTGACTTTGCCCTGGTAGCCTAACCCCGCCCCCCCCCCCCCCCCCCACTCCCAACCCCGCCTCCATCGTAACTACCACTCACGCACGTTTATAGGACAAAAAGCCCAGAATCTTCAGCAGTGGGATATTATGAGATCGCTGTTCATGGGCGCGCATCTAATTATTGGCTAACAGGAGGGAAAAACATTTGATACAATAAACAGCATTTGCTTCTCCCCTCCATGTGACTGCCTCGCTAATAAACTTGGCAATAGAAAACGATTTTTCCAACTGCCAATGTAGCTAAAAGTATATTCTTAAGTGATTCCATCACAGATGCATTTTAAACTTATTCCACCCCCCCACACTCCCAGATGAGGTCACTAATTTATAACATGAACAGCATGCACCTTTCCTTAAAGTACATTTATACGACACTGAACAGGAAAGTCCCACTATACCTATTCCTGAGCGTCGCTCAAACATAGCAATGAAAAAAATATATGATAATCAGGGATTTATGGTGTCTTCCATTGAAATAAGTCACGGGGTAATATTTAACACTCTGATAGCCACGATAGCATGGTGGATCAATAGGTGTAAAATAAGTGATTAATAAGTGGAGAGGTTAGCGAGACTGACCTGCATAACTAAAGCAGAAGGTCCCGTCCAAGGGTACTCAACACCACCGGGGTTGTCGGTATTACATGGAGGAGGGACCATTGGAAGTATTACCTAAAATAGAGAAGATGATGCTGATGGCGATGATGACAAAGTAGTTTACTTATGAATGTGCTCTAAAAATTGGATTTAGAAGGAACTCACTAACTAGTACCTGTGAAAAAAAGGTAAGATTTCAATCTTGGGAAAACGCTGAGATGGTGGGAAAGTAGACACCACGGATTGTATACACGGAGAAATAGAAAGATCAGAGATTAAAAGGAACCCGACTGTGTCCAAATTCTTATTGTTGGAGAATTCCATAATTGAGTTCAAAAACACCATTGACCACTTTGGCATAAAATAAACTAGCACAATGCAAAATTATCTCAGTGATCCTTATTAACGTCACCTGCCACACTCACTTGCAAAGGAGGGGGAGGGGAGGGTAAACTGTTTGATGATCCCAGATAAAATAGCTGCCCAAAAGCAGTAACGCTGGTGCGTCATCAAGGCCAAAGACGCCTGACCTAATTTAGATTGCCAGAACAACCCAATTGCATTAGTAAGGGGGAAAAATGTCTGAAAATCGACAGTAAAAAATTTAAAGACGACGACAAGCAAAAAGCCAGTTTCTTAGGCTACTTAATTGCTACCATTCAATTAGCACTAATAAGGTAAAGAGAAAAATTGCTTTTAAAAATGCCCGCAAACCAGTGGTAGAGAGGAGAATAGGGACAAATATGATTTTACCTACTGATACATTTTCAACTGCAGTCGTCCCAAGAGAAGGGGGTGAGTTCCATTGATCTCCTTTAGAACAGACTCCATTTGGATTATAAACACTATTTTAACTCAATTACACTCAAAAGGAGCATGAAAAATTGTATAGCAAACGCCAGCGAATATTATTATTTCAAATGGCAGGCGTTTTGAATAGTTATCATTAGCCATTTAGATGACTACGGTCTTCACAGAGGGAGGAACATCAAAATGAGAAAAATTCGAGAGGGGGAGCAAAAGAGTGATTCACAGATGTAGAAGAGACAGACAGACAGACACAAAGGCAGGGACAGAGGTGAGTGCTGTGGAAGTTTTGGAATATGACATACAGTGAAATGATGGTAGTTTGAAGTCAAAAGTCAACTACTGGTCAATAGACGTTTTTTGCCGTATGAGTATACGTTTGTCCAGGGTGCACCACGAGGAGGTAAGTCTATCGCACACCCCACGCCAGCGAATATAAAAGATCAGTAAGTAGTCTCGCTCTCTCACTACTTTATAAACTGAAATCGAGTGAAGGAAAATTGACGTCATGATCAGGAATTAGGGGCATTTTTTAATAAGACAATTAGATTAAAAAATTAATGAACTTTTATACAAAAATGTGGTGGAAATACACGTGACATGAAATCGGAAGTACCAGGATTCAGCTGCATTTCCTTAAAACGAGTTTGGCTTTACTATAGGGGTGTGATCTAGAATTTGAAATGGAATTTCTTGGCAGTGTTTAGAGTGATCTGAACAAACAAACATCTTTGCAGCTAAAGGCATGGCTTACGATCATGAAAGTGAGTCGAGAACATATTGACACATTCTCTAGCAATTCGTTGATTGAATTTTCAAGGACTTAATCGATTTAAAATTTAATTCAATTGTCACGGTACAAGATCAGCGATATCTACTACTTATAGGGAGTCCCGGTATTAAGTTGATAGAGTAGAGAAATGAAATGGTCATAGTTTCAATCATCCCATGAAACTCAGTTACTACCCCGGCTTTTTGAGAATCTCTGTTCCGTTCAGTTTCAATAGACAAGGAAGCGACATAGGCGTGAGACAGGATATATTTAAGATAACTATAGTCCACATTTCCTATACAAACTTTAAGAAATCAATCAGTAAAGTGCAATTTCGCTCGAGTAGATGGTGAAATAAGAGTTCATGAATTAAAAGAGCATTAAGGAGGATAGCCATGTTATTAAAAAGTGCGTCGGCACTCAATTAGAGCCGTTCACTTAGACGCTGAAAGGAAAGGCTGCTAGCATATTTTTGTAAGCAGGTGTTTTCGCTTTTCAAATGGTAGCATGAAAACACGTGGAAGTTTGAATTAAATTAATTTTCAAAATAAGGGATGTGCGATAGACTCGCCTCCACGTAGTGTACCCTGGGCAACGTATACTCATACGGGAAAAAAAGTCGATCAACCAGCAGTTGACTTCTGACTTCAAACCACCATGACCTCACTGTATGTCACAGTCGACCACTCACCTTACCCTACTCTCTAGCATTGTTTCTGTCTCTTACATCTGCAAATCACTCTTCGGTCCCCCTCTAGAATTTTTCCCACTTTGATGTTTCTCACCTTTGTGAAGCCCGAAGTCAGCTAAGGGCTAATGATAACTATCAAAACGCATGCCATTTGAAATAAATACATAAATGTTCAAAATAAGCATTAAGATGTTGATAAAAGTAACTTTAGCTGGTATTAGATACAGATGAGTTTAGTGAGATGACGCGGTTAAAGATTGCATTTCGACTGATACCATTCAATAATCAATATTCGCCAAAAGAAATTATTGAAAATAGTTCAAGCAAACGGAGACACGTAAGCATAATTTTAAATTGAAACCGAATTAAAATGATACAGCAAAGCAATTTGGGCAGAATGTGCGTAGTTAGACGACGGATTAACGACTATTGTTCTAATCATACGGTGACCAGCCAAGGTTATGACATGGCATCGATATCGTACTTCTTATGCTTGACAACTCTTTGCTTCGACTTGTTTTCACTCAGTGCGGAAAAGGCAAAGTGAAATGATTTCATCCGCTAATTCTTATTGACTTTTCAAATCCTTTTTGAAATGTCTTGCTAATCCTCGGAATTATGCATTCTCTCGAAGTATTAAGAATTCCATGAATACCAATGAAACAAACCTTTCATCTTACTAATATTCACGACAAGAAAAAGTAAAACACACACACACCTTTTTGCAATGCATCTGGAATGCACCTGAGCTCAGATAACACTAACTGCAGTTCAATAAGGATTAAGGAAAGGGGATTAAATGGAAGCAGTTTTCTGAATGAAAAGATTGGTCTCATGTTGTACAATATGCAAGTGGCAGGTCCTAATAACCCGTTTCTTCCCAGTCAACTTCTCGCATGAAGTTTCAGTTGCACACAGAAATCGTAAGGACAAAAAAATGGCTGCAGCTATCTGTGAAGGGAGTTCACACATACGTGAAGCAAGCATTACGACAGAAGTTAACGATGTAAGAAATATGGGGCTAAAGCTGCCAAATTAATTTGTGAGAATTGTTTAAATGGGGACCACCCAAGGATGAGGAAAAATGGACCAATAATCAGTAAGCAAGGTGACGCTTTAAGGAGTTTAAATTGTAAAGCAGTGAATTCGAAAATTAAAAATTTATTAACTCTCTAGACACTCATTTTTTGGACTCAATTATCTTATTCCTCAGATAATTCTTCTTACTCCATTTTGTCGCGACGTATAATCATATAGTAAAAAAGTGACTTCAAACTACCATGACCAGACTGCGTGACATATTTCATCACTTCCACAGTACTCACCTTATCTTACCTTTTCCTCTACCTTTGAGTCTGTATGCCTCTTTTACATCTGTGAATCACTCTACTATCCCACACTTGGATTTTTCTCACTTTAATGTTCCTATCCTCTGTGCAGTCAGAAGTCAACCAAAGAGCTAATGATAGCTGTCATAAAGTCTGCCATTTGACATAAATAAATTTTGTCGATACATGAAAAATTAAAACACGTTTATGTACTACTGTTGATTAAAAACATGTGATATGACAAAATTGAGTAATCACATTTAGAAATCTAGAGACAAACATCTCAAGCTGTACGATTAACCGCCCAACTTAACTCACTGAGTTTTGAAGGTCATAGAAAAATAAATCAGAAATCCGACGAAAAATCCTTTGATTTAACTATTACAGTATAAGAATACAATGTTTTGAATTACACTCACACCCGAATTGCAAAATTCTTTGGACGACTCAATGAATTCAAACAAAGTAGAACTCTGCTTCCATTCAGCACTTCTGCTCTACCCGTGCTCTTCTCACCTTTTATTGGACTATTACTCACTCTCAAGGCCAGATTTTTAAAGGATTTTGCCTTGCTCTAAGGCACTTAAAATAAGCTCATATCCTTCAGGCACAAAGGATTGATTGACATAATTTTGCTATGACATTACACCAACCTGAACTTCACAACATCATATTTGAAAGTAAGTACAGCTTGAGCATGTCTTTAAACCGTGATTAATAACCGTTAAAGGGAATAGATAGAGAAAGCCACGAAACGACCTAAACTTACTCTCGGCATGAGGCTTTCTACACGATAGAACAGAGGAGGTGGAGTCGTCTGATGTTCAGAAGTATTTTCTGCTTCATCGAAAAGAGATTGCTAAAAATAAAACACCGTTAAATCATACTCATCACACGAATCATCAATTGAAAAATCAATCTGTAGTAACTTACAAGATTAGCAGTGAGGTTGAGAAGGAATGCATTAAGCCAAATCATAGTATCGACATCAAACTTTATGTGAAGGGGGTTGATTTGGGCAAACAATATCATTGGTAGAACTAAAATAAAGTAACTTCTTAACCCGACCAAAAATTCAAATATAGATTTGGAAAAAGCTTGTGTTCAAAATTAACCAATTGTGACATTTTGTGAATCATGATAGAAAACCAATCACAAAGTGAAAAGCATTACTTCTTACTTAGAGCCTATCAGATTCTGATAATAGGTAAACCAATCAGAACTTTGCTATAACACAATACGGTAGGATAAACCAATAAAACTAAAGAACATAATTAATTAGCCAATGGACACACAGTCTTACCTGTATTTGGTGATTCAGGCGAAAGACATTGGGTAAAATCCACCGCGATTAAATTAGTTTTCACTGGTAGTTTATGCATCAACACATCGGAAGCAAGAAAGGAATTCGAAATAAGACTCCTCTGTTCTCCATCCAATGCTTCCAATACAGTGCGTCTCTTGTGATTTTTGGCGATATTAAGGGGCAAAGGCCACCTTTCCTCTTCTTTTTGGTTATCCAACATCACACAAGCCACTGTAATATCTTGTAGGCGAAATACTACAACGGACTCAAGGAGAGTTGCCATTTTGGGGTTGGAGAGATGTGTGAAGATGTAATGATCAGGATCAGAGAGTGGTTTGAGAGATTGTAACCATTGATTACGAGCACAATCGATTTCGAAGCAACCAGCCCAATCTTTTCGTGATGTAACTACAGGAAGTGAAACAATGAAGGACTTAATTGGTAGGTGCAAAAATACAATTAGCCATCATCGAGTAAGCATACAGTCCACTGTTACACAAAATTAATCGTCAGAGGATTTAATGTAACAGGAAGTAATTTTGAATCAGTAATTAAAAGAGGTTCAATGAAAGCAATGAGATCTACAGCATTTTTCTTAAAACGGAAAAATACTTTTAATGCTATTGAAGGATACTATGCTAGGAAAACTCAATATTATTGGCTAGATTTTAATAGATAAAGATTAGTGAATATGAAAACGACTTAGTTAATAGAGAGTGATCAACATTAACCAAGTCCATCTGCGCATGCTCGGCGAGGTGGATAGAACATCAATGAACAAGTCTAGCAAATAAACGAGTGGTAGAACTTGAGTCTATTTGTAGGAGAAGCGCTAAAACGTTTCCGCGAAAGGGATTTGAAGTTATCGCTAAGAATAAAAAAGTACATCTCCAAATAAAGTAAGAACAATAATCACCTTTCATTTACTAACCCCCCCTCCCCCCCCCCCCCCCCCCCCCCAACTTAGTGCTCACTCGAGAGGAGTGGAACTAATAGAAGCGTCAATTAACCTAGGAAAAGATTGTCAAATGAAAAAAAAGTCACCGAATTGCAATACATTGCTAATTTTTCATTGAATTGCTTAATTACAGATGTATATATGTTGGATTTTTAATTTAATCAACAGAAGAAGATTAAAAATGAAAAGAAGGTAGAAGAAGATATTGAAATAATTGTATTATTGAACAAGATGCTCAAGAAAAGTTCTAGCGTGTAGGTTGAAACATCATGATTATTACCATTAACTAAATGTCTCTATGTCGGCTGATTAATTAGATCCTTATGCGTGGATAAACAATGTTGGTGTTTGCAGGTGCACTGTAGCTAAGTTGCTACTCGATTGGCCAACGGTCCCTCCAATTGAACCTATTAATTCATAGCAATCCTCAAAAGACGAAAACGAACTCAATTCTTGATTAGTTTTAGTAACCTAGCGGTAACAAGTTGTCACGCCACGTTCTCCGATATGTCTGATTGTCGCACCACTATTGCTCTATTCTAAATAGAGTCAATGTAACTCCCATAACAACCTAACAGACTCCAAAAGCTTGTCATCCCAGAAGATCAAGAGTTCAGGGTCTTCATTGCAGACAATTTCAATTAGAACCCAGTTTCTAGCAATTGTCAAAAAAGTGTAATGTAATAGATTGTTCATTACTTATTAATAATATTTCTTCAAATGTGATTCGTACTAATCAAATATACGAGAATATTAGGAATTCAAATAAAAAATCAAGTATTGTACAAACAGAAATTTGAGTTCAGTTTGCAGCGATTTAAAGGATTTAAATGGCGCAATAGGATTTTAAATGGTACACACAAATTAGAACGGCACGAATTTTCGCGATGACGCATTAAAATTTCTAGTTGAATTAGACCCCTTGTTAGCTGTGACCGAAGTAACGCAGACAAAAATCAAACGTCCGTGGTGAGCTGAGGAAATACAACTGAACCGTGACTGGAAATTTAATAGAATGGGAATTTGGAAGCCTGCATATCGATTCTCCCACCTCCACCCCTCCTCAGCCCCCGGGTATAACAAAGATGAGTGAAAAACCTGCATTCATTTGCCGTCAAGGCAAGGAAGTCGTCAATTTTACACTAAATCCATATTTGTGACAAAAAGTTAATAGGTTACAATAGCGTTATTGAAAAAAAACAATTGTTACTTCCTAAGCAGGATACATCTTTCGAAAGCGTCTTAAACGTACTTGGTGGAATGTACGTGGAGTGAGGATTAATCCATAACGAATAGGTAAACCTATGAAGAAACATCAAAAACCCAAGTCTATTCCCGTCAACAAACCTGGAAGGACTAAACCAGCAAGTAAAAGACAACGACTCCACACATGGCAAATTAAGACCTGCCAAAAATAAAGAATCAAATCAGGAGATCCTACCATAACCTCCATATTGGTCAGACGTAGCTCAATACGATTTCCACTGTTCAAATTCATGAGGCATACTTTAAGGGAAAAATGATTTCGAAATGTGATTGAAGTCGAGAAACATTGGAATGAGTATTCTGATTGAGCATGGCATTGAAAAAACACAACAGCAGTGTCATATAATGTATAAATAAATAAATTATTCATGATGCTGTTAAAATGTGCGATTTATTATTGGCGCCTTTCGTGTTTATATTAACAATGAAAAGCCCTAAGATATGGCACTTTTAGAACGCTATTAAATAACAAAGAGAAATAAAAATTGATAGTGTGAGTGCTAAATAGTCCTATAAGCGCATATAGAAATGACTACAAATTTAAATTAAAGTCTAACTGAAATCTCTGTCCAGGAGTCAATGAAATTTTAATTCATGTTATTCACACACCTAAGTCATAACTCCTCAATCGCGATCAATAAGATTAAATATTGTTTTAATGCATTTTGAGTATAATGAAGACCCATAATGGAATGCTCACAAGAAGTTATTGTATCAACGAATAACACAAATATACCCAAATCGATGAAAAAAGCCAATTCAATGATGGACCAATCAGGTGTGCGAATGAAAGCGAAAAATCGATCAGCCACAACCACATTTTGGAATTCGCAATGCTTTTTCATCCTGTTGTGACCACAAGAAAATCTTCCTTAATCGTTAGTAAGCTCACACTACGAGGCTTAACGACCAATGTCTTAAGGTGAGCAAAACGAATTTTCATCCGCACCACTTTGGTGCAATGGGTTTCTTTTCAAAATACTTGTTGGATACTGACTCTGCGAATTCCTACAAAGAAAGCTAATTAGCCGCATTGCAGACGTGTCGCCACCTATGACTGAGTTTCCCTCCGACAGGAGCCCTGAATGTTCTCTATAAGACTTGAGTTTATTGAGTGAGCGCAGCTTCGATTTCATCTCATGCCATAGTGGAATGGCAAGCAAGAAAGTTACTTTCACTCGCACTCTCACACAAGTCATGGGATTCACTTAATTTCAAGGAGTTGTGGTATAATATAGTTGCACTCTTGAAAAAAAGACCCAGTCAACAGATCAGCTAACGTGTGAATAGTAAGGCATTAAGACGTTTAACTTAATCGCACAATATTGTTAGAATTAGATTCAATCACGCTGAGAACGCATTCAATAGCCATATCACCGTCTAATAAATAGGCGCTGAATTTTACGAACATGAACACGAACACAAATCAAAACTAGGCTTTGGGAAATTAAGGCAGTATCACCCGAATTGTACCACGTATAAGAGCAGTGGGAGTAAATCAATCCCACGGAATCAAAACAATAAATTAAGACTCTTAACAACCTGACTTTATTGCCAGCTCCTCGTTGTCGCATCTTCTGCACAATTATTTCCTACTTCGCATCTATTCTGATGCAATGATAGGAGTTTAAATTTGTAGAGTTATTATTGAATTGGCACGAGTAGCATTATCTAAGACGCGTTTGCTTAAAACGCATGTCAGGGTACTTAAAACGATTAGCATGGTTTAAGGATTTGTTTATACGCAATACCATCAATCCACACAAAAGTCTAGATAGCTTATAGAATCGAGTGTGTCAGACACTACAACACTTCTCACTGGGTGTGATATTTTTAGATAAATAGGCAATTATGTCACGTAATTTAATGTGATCTTACAAGATACGCTTTCGGGAATACTTAAGTAACCGGCTAGTTTGAGATATTTCCAAACTGAATAGCAGAAGTAAGGGGTTTAAACGATATTTTTATACCACTTGATCATAACTAAGCCACAATGCCCCCCCCCCAAATGTAAACCTTAGCTCAAACCAGCCAATAGACCAGTAACTCTAAAGTTGACACCTATGCCATCACTCAGTTACGAACGTGAGCTAATCCTAGTGTAGGCTCTCTTCTGCAGTCTGGTTATCATGCTAATTGGTAGCAAAGTGCTAAAAAGCCAGGCTCAACTCAAATAGAACGCCATTGAGCTATGAAAGTCGTCAAGGCTACTAACACCAGATAGGGATTCAAGAATCCCAAATTTTCAATTTCTTCTTTGAGTAAATGTACTAGCCCAGTCAGGTCTACAAGACAACTATTTAACTAGTTACATTATATAATGGAAAAGTTCCACTAGATGTGTAATTAAATGCAGATAATTGAATGGCATATTGAAAATCCAAGAATTTGGAGCAATATGCGAACATACTCTTAATTGCGCACAGTAATAAATGAATGCATATTTAATGATTTAATCTTTTAACATTCATTATTACATCGTATATCCGTTGGAGAAACCCCTCAGCATAAGAGATACAACCTGAGAAATCTCTGCAAAAAAAAATTGAAATTTGCTAGTTCAACTGGTATTAGCCACTCTACTAGTGTTATATTTCCAACTACTTGTCACAAACCGATCAAACGGAAAAAACTAGCTTTCACAGAATTGTGATAAAATGAAAATGAATAAACTCGAATTGAAATAAATAGCAAAAAAATAATTTTTTTCCGTATTTCTCAACAGGGAAATTGGCATACTACTATCATTTAAAGACCTCCAGAGTAGTGAAGGCTCAAGAACGCACCAAGTCCATCAAAAAGTTATTCGCTGAAGGATGCGCAAATATGATAGGTTATTACAGAAGTACTACCACTGATCGGTATAAGAACAATTAAGAAGTACAATGCAAAAGCTATGGCCAGAAGAGATTGCTCAGCTGTTTAAAAAAAAACTACAAACAAATGCTAGAGCATTAATTGACTTTCTATTAAAACTCATGCGTGATCTTCGAGCATATAAAGAGCCGGTAAGTGATTAAATTATTTGCTGGCCTTCCAATCACTACATATGTTTCCATATGTGGTGAAGCAATAATCGTTCCTTGTCTGTCATAGATTATATATGTATATATATAATAATAATAATAAAGTGTTGGCGTATTCCAATATCAAGCATTCCCCTGCTCTTTAATTCAGTATTGCATGACATGCAATTAGTGAAAACGCATTTAACAAAGTTCTTCACTTATAGAACGCCATCCCAAGCTTCCTTTAATTCTCCCCCCGTCATAAGAAACGCGCTCCACCATTAAAGATGATGCAAGCCACCAAAACACATCGGCACTGAGGAAGTAGAAGCAAGACAGACCAGGAACTGAACCAACAATAGACGTAGTGCGGTTCAATGGGAAACTAGGACCCGAGGATTGTGTACTCGCACTTAAATGCTACTTTATGCAGAAATGACCAGTGACAAGAAGGGACCGTCCTCTCATTCCTGAACGCTTACTATTTCCGTCTACCTTTCTTAATCGTGTCTATTATTGAATCTCTTGCCTAAAGATGGCTATATAATAACTCTTAATTAAGACCACATTTTCCACAATGTACAACGACGGAATGTTTACTTGAAATTACCTCTAAACTGATTGTTTCGCAGCCCGACAAATTTATACACTTATTGGAACTTTTGGTAGCTGAAAATAAACCACCAATGCATTTCCACCAATCCATATTACTATTATTTAATGAGATTAGAATACAGTTTCAATGATAAAGGATGTTAGACCTAATTTCTGAAATAAAAATTGCCCAAGTAGCAGTCTAACAACTTGCACTCAGCATGATTAAGTTAAGTGTATGAAAGTACAAGACGACGTACCTTTCGGGTGAGCGGGATAGTGGTCCAAATGGAGACTTTTTATGGTCATTCGCACAAATCCACCCTCAACCAATTGGGTACTCATTGATGAGGCTTAACAAAAAAATTGATAATTGTATTATTGTTAAAATAAGACTTGCAAAAAAGTAGATAGCCCTACTAACAACCTGATGAAGAAGTAATGAAATCAACTTCAAGAGGCCTAAATCACAACAAGGCATCTTCTTAATAAGTTAAATCGATAAACTATGAGCCGATGGTCCAATACCCACTCGTGTATCATAAAGGAGCAAAAAGGGACGTTATAGGATAAATGCTAGCTGAAAAAACTAAATGTATTAAATGAAATCATGATCTATAGGAACCCAGTGTGGGAAGATGTCAAAAGCTAATAATTAAAGAGGGTTGAAATTCAAACTTACAGCGAAGATTATCCTCACAGAAGTGCATTTCAATGAGATTGGCTTCAAGATGGAAGGAGTTCTCCTTAACATCAAAAAAATCAAAGGCTTGAATAAGTTTGGAGTCTGAGGATCGTGGCATAAATGGAGTTCCAACGGTGGGGTCAATGATGGCAGAATTGTTCAATCCTACAGGTTTTGTCTAAAATCAGAAATTCGTGTAAATAAATAACGCATGCCTGGTAATTCTCCAATGTATTTTTTACCTTAAATAGATTATCACCAGAAGCCGATTCCATTGAACGTTTGAGGAATTTAAGAAATATGATAGTTGCTTCCAGTTGTGAAACGGAAAGAACCCATAGTAAGCTTTCGATTAATAATGTCATTTTTCCGTAAACAAGAGAGGAATCTAAGAAGACAAAGTTTATAAAAATATATATAAATAACGACCAAATCTAACCTGAGAGACGCTTTTTCAAAACCACCCGTAGATGCGCCCGATTAGTAATTATTTTAACAGGAGTCATACGCTCATCTAAACCATCCGCTTTGAGATGAGTGCTTTCCCATGAAACTTCCTTGAAAATTAAAATGCTATTTCGCTCTGGTAAGGGGATAAAAGTAGAATTCAAGGGTCCTGGAGCCCAGTTTGGCATTCTGCTTGCGAGAGTAATATGAGAAAGCTAAAATAAAAAAATAAAGTAATATGACAAATGGAATTGACATACATTCACAGAAGCTTTAAAGACTTTGGAGATTAGTTCTGCTGATAGTTCATGAATACAAAGAGATATTCCATCTATACCTCGTTCAACTAAGCCATACCGACCAGATGATGGACTAGATACCTTCAAAAATAAGGAGACAGTAATTACCGATAGCTTGATGCTGACCCATTTACAGTTGGCTGACGAGGAATTTCAAGAATTTCAACTTTAATAACAATGCTATCAACAACCTAAAAACTATAAACATGAATAAAAAATACCATTGATATTGGCTTCGAACGAAGATTCGTCCATGGAATCTGAAGGAAAAACATATAATATTGGAAATAAGGCAGACTTTAATGGCTATTTTAGTGCAGACGGCACTATTGATTCTCATCCATTGAGGGAATTCAAGAAAATCCATCAAAACCTCTTCATTTAACTCCAAATTTTCCATATTTAGCTCTCCTTTCAATGCGCTCAGTTTAATCTGATCAGGGTCAAGATTTTTGGCGAAACTATACGACAAAATAAATATAATCGCATGCATACACCGCCAGTGGCTTCAGTATTTGTTGCTTTATTATAGATGGCATTATAAGAATTAACTTCTATGGACACAAGACGCCAAAGTGATACTAATGACCATCTCCCAAAATACAACCCAATGATGACCAGGTGAATTTAAAATTGGCGTATGGTCAAGGCCAAAAATAATCTTGTGGCTCAGGTCAATAAGGGATCTAACAATCTCTCTCTATATATGCGTATATAAAGCAGTTTTAATAAATATTTTATCGATTTCAAAATACATCTAGCTGACTAAAATCATAGCATTTGTTGGCGTTACACATATACGTTTAACAATCTTGATATTTTAATAAACTCTCAATTCTTTTAAGGAGAAATAGCTAATGATTAGCAATTCACATTGTATTAAACAAAAAATTATTATTATTTTAAATGGCAGGCTTTATGAAATTTGTCATTAGCCCCTATGAAACAAAAAATAATTTTGCACTTAAATCAAAATTACGTCAGCATTTCAGTGTATACATCCAAGATCAATTTAGGAGTAATTGGTACTGCACATTCTTTAGTAAACTCTTCTTAAAATTTACGTCAGAAATAATTTTCGTTTCATTTTTAGCACTTACCGTTGTCCTTTTATAAGTATACGATTGTAAGTAATTGAATTATAGAACCAAAAGCCATCAAATGATTTCTTCTACAATTACAAGTTTTTTTCACGCTTAACATTCCCCCTGCACTTAGAAAAACCTATTTTAAAATATTCCTGTCTTACCTTGTAAGAGGTGTGAATATCGGACTTTTTAACATTTCATAGAGCTCAACTTTTGCTCTGAGAATAAACTTGTTTCTTTTGAATACGAATTAGATACTAAATCTAAATAAATTAAAATCCAATAAATATAACCTCTTTAGAAACGTGGTTAAGGTGGACCTTGAAACAATCCCCATACAAAACTCCATTTGTATACTCGGACAGTTTGCAACAGCATTTTACGATAATCATATCAATGAAAGCTTTGGGTGAAAGTTTATTGGATCGTTTAAGGAATGGATGAGAGCGATTGATAAGATGAGCATCCCAATTAAATAAGAGAATGTTATGTGGAATTTTATCTCCATGGTCAATGAAAACGCAGATTTTTATGATTTGGTGTTCTACTACACATTAATTAACCAATCTCCCACCAGAGGCCTCACATTTTCGTCAATTTTATCTTTAAACAGATAGCATTAGTATCTATAATTCCAGAAGAAGAAGTATTCATCGTGGGAGACTACGGTCTGCATATTGTGCAACAAGACAAATAGCAATAATGAAATAAAGAACATTTTTCAAATAGAATAATATTTTTGAATAGACTTATCTTTTCTATTAATTGGATAGTTCTGCAATCTACAATAAATCAAAGGTTGCAAATATATTATGACATCACGGTCATGGATGTTTTTGGCAGTTTGCATAGTATAGGGACAGTAAAAATCGATCATATTAGAGACGTACACTATGCATCGTTTTTTAAAATTAATTACTTTTCAAACGCAGAGTGGAAGAGCTATTCGAAGTTGTCTGAACGTCTCATATTTATTATAAAACATACGGTCACTAAGCCCAAAACACCGTGAATATGTATTTAACGAATCAAGAAAGGTTTTAGTCCAAGACTTGTCGATAACGTAAAAGTGCATATATTTGATGGAATATTTTCCAAAGAGCAAATGGAATCCTATATAACCATAATTTCAAAAACTTAACAGGTATTCAGTACCAAGTAACCAGTCAATGTCTTTTATTCAAATAAAACATCTTTTTTTGGAGGACGCAAGAAATGTGAAATAAAATCTGTCAGAATAGATTCAAAGCCGTAGCAAATAAAACCAAAATTTAAAATTACTAGATTGACCATATAAACCTAAATTAAGTTAGTACTAAAAATAAGACCAAAATACTCTTTCACAAGTGTAATTAATTGAATTTTATTGCCATAGCAATAGGAAATTTGTGTAATTGGTATGTGGTATCTGAAATTATATCGTTCCTACTATATAAATTTCCATATTAACCACAAGAATTAAATATATCTTTATCGATAAAAATGGCATAAATATGTAATTGATGTTTTAGTAATAATAATATAATAGATAATAATATAAGGTTTTGTTATGCGAATAGAATTTATTTATCAACATTTTATGCAAACATACAATGAATATTAGTTCAAGGCAAAGGCCTTTATAATACAATGCATTAATCGGTGACCAAGAGATTTTGTTGGTATATGCATTCCGTAAGCGCCGCAATTGGATTTCAATAGTACTTTTTTGTTATCGGCATTTACATTGAGCTTAAATAGTAAAGTAATTAAGATTTACTTTATAGTTTGTTAATTTTAAAATAACAATTCATAGTTTCACATACTTTGTTTCATTATTTTCTTGAATCTATGTCATTATATTTTTCGTTCAATTTTTCATTAGCTTCAATTTGATTTGCCAAAATTTGAAGTTAATATACTTTGTTATGATTAAAAATTTATTCCTTATTTGATATTTTATTTCCCTAATTTATTAATCATTTTAGTTGTATCACATGCAAAGACAAGGTGTCACAGATTCTGTTAGTTTACAAAGCAGCTTAAACAGCAGCTTCATTAATGAGTTTAATGCTATTGAGCAGGCTCTAAATTCCGAAATTGATTTTATTTCTCCTCGATCCTCCTCATATCTCGAAGGTTCTGCTTCAGTATGTTTTGTTTGCTTCGCTTTCATTTCACATCTGTCCTCCCCATGTCACCCGAATATTAAATACACTGTTTCCTTTCAGAAATCCGATATATCAAACGGTGAGGAAAATAACCGGTCTATCGTCTCGGGTTCTGCAAATGAGGTAAAATTCGGTTATCTCTTTGAACTACCGTTTGGTTTTTATAATAAGAAGTCATCTTCTATGTTATGTTCTTAAGATTAGTTTATACATTCTGTTGTGTTCTTTTTATTTTTATCTATTAGTCATTTATGAACCCTGTTGCTTTTGGACACATTACAAATGCTCACATTTTCTTGTAATTGTCTTAAGATACCCCTCCGATTACGTTGGTGTCACCTTTAGGGTAAATTAAGATGTCCTGGTGGTAGTGCATTTATCAATAAGATCTTGGGTCCGTGTCCAACGCTGCCTTTACATCGATTAATTATGTTCATTATCGATGCCTGATTACGAATATCCCATCAATCTGATTTCGTAGCGGAAGCCTTTTTTCCTTTTTATTATTTCTATTTAATTCTCTTCTGATATTGCTATTAATTTTCATTCTCTTAGGAATATGAATCGGATTCCTTTGAGGTGCTAAGGCCGCCTAACGCTCGGCCCTTACCGATCGAGGATCCAATCGAAACGTACGATTTGATTATTGATGAAATGAAGTCTAATGGTGTTCAATGGGTTCCCGAGAATCAAATGAATAAAAGCCTTTCTGAAGTACGACTTGCTGCTCCGGACTGTCAACAATCGCAGAATGTGAGTTCACTTTCAGCACACTGTTGGAGCAGTTCGTTTTATTAATTATAGCGATTTGTTGCTTTTCATAAAAGCTTCGGATAAAATTTCTTTAGCAATTACTAAGTGCCTCTCTTAATTATGTCTTTTTCCATTTGTGTAATTAGTTCATTTGAAGTTCCTAAAATCTTTTGCTGGTCAAGTTCAAAGCTCGATCATTCATGAGGTTATTGATTAGTAGCTGCCTTGTTGAGTCAGAGTAGCATTGTGCTGTAGTCTTAACGATGATTTGAGACTGGGACCACTTTCTTTAATTCCCGATAAACTAAATAGATTAGGGATTTTTATTGGTTGTGGATCAATTTCTTAGGGTGAAATCGTATTTTTATTGATTTACTGAAAGGTTTGTTGTAATTACGCTACGCAATATTGCGTATGAAGGACAAATAATGTTAATTTTGTCGAAGTCAATATTAGCGTTGGAGTAATCACCACTTTTTTGCACATCCCAATGTCCATAAATTCTGCGCCGATAAAGTGCATCATTTTGAATGTCCTTCCTACCTGTTTTTAATTAAAGCTCTTTATCTTCGCTGTAGTAATTGCATTTCGTTTGATTATCGGATTGAAATAGAATTCTAGATTTTCCCTAGTACTCATGGTTGAAGAATGTTAATTAATGCTGATTTACTTCTGTATTCCCCCTGTTTACATTTGAATTCTTTGACACAACCCCCTCAATGTAGAATTACTTGAGTCTTAGTTAAGTAATATTCCAACGCATTTTTTGCGGAAAGAACTAGTTAAGTACATTCCATATGTTACTAAACCTTTAACTTCGGACAACTCGCTTTACTTCTGAGTGGATATATGAGAGAACCAACCAGTGAGGGATCATCTCAGTGCATATGTAGCATGTAATGTGGCCAAATAAAGGTGCTCTTTTTTTATTTTGATTGAATAAGTGGTGGAATGACACCACTTTGGCGTAAAGTCACATCTGACACATGAATGTGTATCACGTCGATACGTATTTGTTGTATATTCTGTGCAATTTTTTGGCTGTATTATTTGTTTCCAAATGAGGTTATTAAATTTTTTGAACGCAATAAAACGAGCCATAGAGACGCACGGGATTTAATTAGGACGTTTACATAATAAATTTAGACAAATGGTGTTAATAAAATTATCAATCCTTTCAATTTCATATTCACTTAGATTGTGGCCACGATATTTGTCTAAATAAGTTATGTAAACTTTCTAATTAAATCGATTGCGTCTCTATGGCTCGTTTTATTGCGCTCAAAAACCCACAGGTTGTGAATTTTCACGATTGTATGTATTTTTCTCATCTGTTCCGACATCTGAGGCGGACTTTGTCCTTATCTAAATTAATTTTGAAATTACTATTCTCAATCAACTTAGCTTCTTTATCGTAATTTACGTTTAAGTGCTCAGAAGCTTGACACTACACTCCACAGCTCTGGCATAGGAGTGGGATGTTTAGGGTTAGGGTATGGAAGGCTACGATGTTCCTGCTTTCCTTCTTTGTTTGAGGCAAGAAGAGGCAAAGAATCTAATGCCAGGATATTTATTTCAAAGTCCCCAACTATAACGTTTCTGGTTTTCATATTCATGGTATATTTATTAATTGACTTCTCGTAATCTTTTTTAGCGAGTTTCTTTTCTGTTATTGTGCTCATTGTGTTAAGGAAGGTCTTATTTTATATCAATGAGCTCAGTCACGCAATTTATACTGCTTATTTTTTATGAATGTTTTTAGTCTAGTAATTAAAGCTCTATCAATGGAATTATGCATCAATGCATAACCGGATTGATTCTGTAATTAGCTGTCACGCCCTTTTTTTAGCATTGCTCACTTCTACCTAGCATGATACGCTGCTATTTACCTTGGCTAGTGAATATTAGTCGCGAGTTGTTTCACAATTGTCGAAAGAACCAGACCTTATTTAATGATGATAAAATCCGCTGATGGTGTAGTGGTTAGCGTGCACGTCTACTAATTCAGAGGTCGTGGGGTCGAGGTTTATCGGTACATATTTGGTAAGGAACGGCCAACCACACGGCTAATTTTTGGACAATAAAATATGAGTTACTTACAGGAAAGGCTCTATCATGAATATTCCTCACTCAATTGGAAAGGAGGGTCGATTACGTTCTTATTGGAAATTATGTTGTAGATTATCTCCACTCAGTGACACCCATTCTTTCAACTCTAAGGTACATGAATGGGCCTTTTCGTATAATTTAGCCTATTTACGTGATTTAAGCTGGTAGATCACGTGTTTAGTCACTCGAACAAGTGGTTTAGGACAAGCGGAATCTGGTATAAGTGCATGATGGTAACTGCCATTCCCGGACTGTTTTCAACCCAATTTGGCCATTGTTTATTTCACTTCACTTGTATTGGTGAATCATCTTGAGCAATGTCACGTCATTTTGGCCAGTCAGAGGGTTAGTCTACTCCCATTATGTCTCTTGGGCGTATCCCTAAATTTCGACGTGGGCTACAATTTGCCCGTGTATCCTTCTGTATGTTAAAGGACACAGGCTTCACTTACTTAACTTTCTGAATTCTCCCTCGTAAGAGAGTTTTTGTGTCAACGAAAATTAGCGTTAATATGCAAAGAAATTTTATTTCCTGAGTTTTTTCGTTTAAATAGAGTCTAACTTCAAGCAATTTGCCTCATTGGGCAATTCACAATGATCCTTCAAGCAAATTTATAGTTTGCTTCAAAGTAGACATTGGCGTTTATTAGTCAACATAAACTGTGACCGTATTAATTAATTAATTGATGTTTTGTGCTGAGTAACTGTCAAAGAAGTTATTACCATGCCCTCTGAGGTGTACATGATCTGTTATCCTTGCTCCGCAAAATTATTGTTAAGTTGGGAATAATTGTTTTTTTTAGATCACCAATATTGAAGGACTTTTCACCTTAGTAACTATTCCACGTTCGAGGTGATATGCCAACTTCTTCTCTCAACAACTTTTTTTTATTTCTTGAACTTACTGTTCGCAGATTTCAAATACTTATCCACAATCAAAATTGTATTTTTTGCTTTGCTGTGGGTTAATCTAGTTTAAAATACTTTTAGCGTTTTGCAGTATCTTTTCCCTAGATCACTTTATTAGGATTTTAAATTTTTTTACCCAACGTTCTTTGCTTTCTTTAGCTTTCTTTATATCGCACCCGTTTTTTCGTATTGTTAATGATCAGTTCAAACGAATTTGATGTACTTCCACCTATACGAATTTAGCATTTTACTTGTTGTTGACTTACTATTTATTGTATTATTCACTTTAATATCCGGTTTCAACTTCTTGAGTTCAGTCATTTCGGATTTGTTGGAGGAGTTACTTATCGAAGAAATCAGCCCTTCCATTAGATTTTGTTAACAGTCTTGATTTGTTTTATTTAACTCGACTTGTATTAATCGATTCAGATTTTTCCCGCGCCAGCTACTCTTTCTAATAGATGAGTTGTGAAATTTCAAAGTTTTAGAGGAGTTAAGGGCTATTGGATCTTTCGAACTATTTATTACCTTGACGAAAATGTGAGGCCTCGAACTCTTATCGTCAGAGCTTATTCCTGCAATCGCTTTTCTTCTATTCTTTGGCGCTACCAAGTTTGGATTTTCAATTCCTTATTCCAAAGTTTGGCTTCACAATCAAGTAAGGTGAAAATGCTTCCATGAACTCAATGCAACGCCTTTGTTATGGAAAATGTTGCAAAATTTCAGACAAATCAATCATGAGGTCTTGAAGAGACGTATCCTATTACCCAACTCCTATCCGTGACACGATCTTAAAATTCGCGAACTTATTAAGTTTAGGTGCTTACAATTCCAGTCTATTAATTTGATTTAGAAATTCAAACATTTAGAATTGCTTGCCCGTTTTTGTTTTGCATTAATTCAAATCTACGTCAATGTTTTCGTGTGGCCTAGCAACTGCGTTGATTTAGGGTCGAGAGAGAGAGAGAGAGCTAGCATGTGACATGTTCTCCCCTCCCTCCCTCTCACTCTCTTCCCACTTATTTACATTTCTCTCAACTTATTTCCCCTTTTTAAATTCTACTTTAGGCTTTAACTCCCACCAAGTCTTCTTCACTCTTCTCGACAAACGGAATTGAAAACGCTAACAATGGACATCAACAGCCCATCAATGGGTAAGTTTGTCCATCTATGCATAATTTTTTTTCTGGCTTATATCTCCCAAACCACTTGTAATTCATATGCAAACAGCGAAATGAATATTTTGAATTTGTCCAACTTAAAAAATTGGCTTCTGGCGCCATTCTCATCCGCACAGCTATGTGGAGCTTGGTTGGTACGATCCTAAGTTTTCAATTTGTATAATTCTCATTATCTGGGCTGTCTTCAACTAATCCTACTTTAAAGTGGTTGTTATTGTCTACCATTCTTGCATAATCGCGGGTTCGAAATCGTGGTTGGTTGGTCAATGTCCTTTTCTCCCTTTCCCACTTTACTTCCTTCAGGCGAGATCCGGTTTAAGGTGTGATTCATCGTTGACTTTTATTTGGTGATCAACTTGTTTTTTTTTCTCCTTCCTCCTTCCACTCAGTTTCTTAATTTGTTTAAAAATTTGAACATTTATTTATCTAAATGTGGAAATCATTTCATCCCTTTTGGGTGGTTCTGTTTCATCCACCATCTTATTTTGATTGGCCTTTAAGTTCCCCTTCTCTATACTTTTTATTATTGGAGAAAATTATTCCACCAACCGGATATTTGGTTTAGAAAGCGGATGCAATTTGTATTGGGCCGACTCCCTTGTACTCCCTTGTGTCAGGATGCGCTAATTTTCGTCTTATCGTATTCGCATTTTCCAAACTCTTTCAAATATTAAATAAGGCAAATGAATTGTTGGCAATGCTTATAGACACGTGAGCCAAGATTTGGACCACTATTGCGCCTTCACTTTCCCTTGACGCTCTCAGTGTGTTGCAATTAGCCATTTCCCTTCTTTTTCCTCTGACACCGAATTGTCTTTTTCAGAAAAAAACCCTAGTTTGGTGTTGCGTAGCATGCGAGGATATATATACTAGTCTTTCTGTTATTCTGACCATAAAATTATTAGATGCATTGCTGTCAGATTCATTGGTTGTTACTTATCAAATGTCTCCTCTACTTTTGCTTAAGTTGGGTTGGGTCTGAGGCAGTATTGTTTTACGATATTTGGTACGATTACACTTCATTGTGCTCTACATGTTGTCTTTACTTTTCTTGCAACACATTTTTTTGCTTTGTTGTTGGGTGGGGGAGGGGGGGGGGTGGTTAACTTGGAAAAGTCATTTTGCCCCATTTTTCCTGCATTGAAGCAATGTTCAAACTGAACTTGACGATAGACTTCAACCGTTGCAGGTTGCATCTCTGTTCATTCTTTATTTGGTCTTGATTGAAATGGTTGGCTTTAATTCATTTTATTGGCTTTTTCTCAAGCAGCTAATTGAATCAGTTAATGTCTCTATTCTGGTGTGTTTTCTCAACTAATTAAGTACGTCTGCTATTGAACCACCTACCAGCCTCCTGCAGACGTTATCATGAGTCACACACGGACTGAAAAGTTATGACTTATGATTGACGTCTTCTGTGTGTCATTCATGTGCATCCCGGCACAATTTTCCATCTCTAGTTGTCTCCCCTTTGTGCCCCTTAGAATTCTGAATTCGATATAAAAGCAAACAGAAAATCCTCTGGTAAATGCTAAATTGCCCATTTGACAACTTGAAATGTGCGCCAGTAAGGGTATCACTACTATATCTTTTAAATTTCTCTGATTCCATGTGTTCACCTTCTACCACTACCAAGTAAATTAGATGCGATTTTTCACTCAATGATTTTTAAATGAATTACTTCTTCAAATGATGTCCTTGACGGTAAAGTAGAGCTTTAGGAAACTCATCTGCCTATTCATTCCGGAAATGTTGAATTCAACTACTTGTCTTTCCGAACCCCTCGCCACCCTATCCAACTTGTATCTGCTTTATAGGCTTTAGCAATCTAGTAATCTCACAATCAGCAATGTGAGTCAGAATGCTGCCTTTTCCTCGTTTCATTTAGCAAACAAAGGGGGGGGGCGTGAGAGCGAGAGTGAGTGAGATTATTTTTCCCAAACCAAATTTAAGCAATAAACGTGACGTTTGCAAAATATATACATTATAGCGTGATTTACTTTTTTTTACTACGCGTAACAAAACTGTTAGTTTAATGTCAATTTCATTTGCATCTTGTTCGAAATAGCCCCATTTCTATTGGGCACTTTTTTTTGCTCTTCGTTAATTCAGATTGGCCGAGTTATTTCTGTCATTATTTAAATATTGCATTTTGGTATTTCCATACTTCATTAATAACTAATTATTTACCGGCCATTCACACATACCCAATGGCAGCACACCACCCTTTCCAGTAATGAGTCACCCGCGTCCTTCCATCGTTGAGTATTAATCGAGTCTCTATTCCTGTTACTGCAGGTTGTCTCTTTTCAGTCATTGTTTATGTGTTGGTGTATAATTAGGTCAGGGTATGTAAGTCGCTTCCTCCTTTCTCGCCTTGCTAAGATAGCATGCGTCTGCGAAAGGTGTTTAAAAATGATTAAAATTATTATTAATTGTGAAGTGTTGATAGGAGTTGATTTGGCTAGAGGTGGGTATATCCTAGTTCCTCTCCTGCAAGAAACTCTTCTTCCATCATCTCTTATTGACTTAGTCAAGGTGTTTCGTCGTCCATATCACTACATATACACTAATTGGCATTCACCTTGTTTTCTTGGGGTTTGGGGTTGATTGTGTTCGGTACTGCACCATCTACTCACGAAAGGTGGTTAAATCTGCCTAATGTGGCGATTCTCACTACACTCCAGACAAGTGGAAGAAAGTACGCCTTCGATAGAAAAGAAGTGAAACTAAAATGATGATTGGATTTGGTTTGAATGAATAGAATGGTGACATCTGAAATCACGCCTAGCATTAAAATGTTAAGTATCAGGGCAACAACAAATTATTACAGGAGTAGTGGGAATGTACTAAATAGATAAATAAGGGATGTGATTCTCCTTAGGTTAACATCTGTTATAATATAATTTCAGTGCTAATTTCGGTCTTACTTTGATATTGCGTAGACCCTTGCTTACTTTTGACCTTGAATAGCTTTTTGTATGACGTCAGTTTGCGTCCTTTCCTCATTCTTTCCTTTAAGTCGATTGTAATAGCTATTCATTTCCTAATGCCTTCATAAACCTCAACGTGACAACTATTCATTTTTGTCATTACTTGCAAGTTCGGGGCCAAACGTGAGAACTGCTTGGATCATGGTGTCGCCATACATTTGGCCTATTATTGGCTATCCTTCTAGCCTATGCCTTAACTGCAGGGGTCATCGATTCCATGTAATCATCTGAATTCAATCCGAAGCTTCTGATTAAAAATGTATCACCTACAGAGCAGGATACGGTTGAAAACCATGACAGTTTAGGAAAATTTTGTCTGCCTGACTGGAGGAGTGTCCTTTGGACTGCATACGCGCCAAGCCATCAGTCATAGTGTATATTATACATTTGATTTTGGCAAAAGTTCTTTTTTCTCATCGAAAAGGAGATACCCGATTGTTTGTACTTCAGAAGGATGATGAATCACTTTCCTCGGCAAGTTCTTTGCTCTTGTCAGTCCATTTTCGCAGGCCCCATTTGCGTAAAGTTGACCTCTGTGTGGAGCTTGCAAGAGCCTGGTAGTAGCCAAGGCATCCATTGAGCACAAGCGTCATAGTTGAAACATTCAATGCACGTATTCCGATGCTAAGGTACTCCAACATTCGCAGTCAGATCAGAATTGTCTCCTGTGTTTCTTCTTTTCACATCCTCGTAGTCTCCATTTCCTGCCCATTTTTTGTCAAAGTTTCCAGTGAAAATTAACCGCCTTATTTCTTTGATGTTCTGATAAAGTTTTCCTCTTCCATGATTCTGCCATGTATATGCATGAGGAGGAACTGGAAATGAGCTGTTTCCCACTCCCTTAGTTTGAATGATTCGCCTTGAAGGCCATTGCCTGACTGCAAGGCCTTATAGCTCTTGCCTTTAATTATCAAAAGGAGTCATTTTAACTTGCAATTTAAAAGTCAGTGTGTACCTACTCCCCTTCATTAATCATCATCATCATCAAAGTGAACATAGTTCTCATTAATTTGCCCACCTCTACGGCTCTCGAACAATTGCCTCCAATGTACGCTCGCGCGTGTATATTCGTCATGAATCATTTTACCATGCAGCATCTAGCAAGGGAAGGTGGTTGTCAACCGTGATTCATCCTCCTACCATTTCCAACATATGTAATAATAGAAATGGGATGGGAAGGGGAATGTATGTACAAAACCTCCCCCCCCCTCCCTCCTTTGTGCCTCTGAGGGGCGAAATTGTTTTGTGTGTGTTACGCGTACTTTGTGAAGCTGAGTGTTGACTATAATGGTTCTGTGGTTAGTCAACCTTTTTATTTTACTCTTGCAGAAATGCTTTAAACCACCCATTCCTTTCCCGTTAAGGGAAAGTATGAAGTAAGTTCCCCCTCTCCCTGTTATTTTAACTTTTTCATTGGCCTCTGGAACTGGTTAACCCGCACACATCTGTCCCCTTCCCCTCTCTTTTTTTTGCTGAATTCTAACTTGAATGTCTGCCTTACATGTTACTTATTGCCCTATATTCCTTGTGTTTTCTTCTAGAACAACTACCGTTCAAAAGCCCTCTTCGGGTGCCAACGATCAGAGTGCTGCAGAGAATGAAAGGAAACTGAGAGAACTCCAAAACCAACTGAATCAGGTATATATTTCCCTCTCCTTGTCTACATTTGTGTGCCTTGTTGCCATGTGGTCGGAGGATTTGCTCGCTTGCGCGTGCGTATCTTGGCAACGATCTCAGATTGAAATGATGATAGAGAGAGAGAGAGGCATACATTTGGTCCAAGTTTAGATCTTGTGGTGGTGGTGTTGGTGATGATGCACTTGGGTGCGGATATACCAAAGATTTTGGCTATGTGATTTAACTCCCTGTAAACAAAAGATTGAATTGTTCTTATTGGTTCCTTCTTTGCTACTACTACTAATGGCTTGTGATACGAAAGATGGAAAGGCCAAATGATCTTTTCTCTTTCGAACTGTGCAGCTTTTTATCTGCAACAGATACAGGCACCTATAGGTTAGACGCAGCAATTGAAGTTACCCTCTATCCTGCACGTGCTGAGGGAAACAGTTAGCCTACACAACTTTAATATCCTAAATAGATAATTTTAAGAGCGTTTACGTTGGTCTTGTAAGTCAAATTCAGGTTTCAGTGGTTGCACATAGCAGCCCACTCATTCAGTTTTTCAATTCATTCTCGTGAGTTATATAAGCTTGGTATTCTTGTATCTTAAGAGTATGCCAACTTCTTCATTGGTGAGTTGGTCTATTTCAGTAGAAGTAGACGTTGAATATTACTAAGAGATTGTGAAGGCGAAACCTAGCGAATAATACACCTGATTCAAGTGTGAATTTGTTGTGGTTAAGATTTTGGCTATGTGATTCGTCTCTTTGTAAACGAGGGAGTTGAAAGATTACTAGGCTCCCTTGTCTCGTTGGAGCGAACGGTGCTTTGTTCTTAGATAGGGCTGTACGTTTGTTTTAGTTGTAATACCAAAGCGCTATATCGGAGCAATTCAACTTTTATCGAAAATTTTATTTGCTTCTTTCCCTTTCTATTAAGTTTTTTCCGAAATACTTCACTTCAACCTCTCACTCATACTCGAATATGCGATGGGTACTACTCATGTGTAGGATTACTTTACTGCCTCTATGCTAGAAATAATTCATTCAGCAATTGGAAGTTCAGGGTCATTATTATTGCCCTAGTTTTCGGTATCATGGTTGTCTCGCTATCTTGCCAATTAAAGTGTCTTGTGGCTCAATAAAGACTAAATCTTTATTAAAGCACGGCTACATAATTTCGTCAATCAGTTGTAGCACTATTTGCAAAAATATCTTTAAATCAGCTGTTGTCATATTAGTTTAACGCCTAGTCACCCCAAACTGCTGATTTATTACTTCGATTTTACCCTCTAATTTATCAATTAAAATGCCTTCGTATTGCAGTCCATTCGTCATGTCGTTCTAGTCTCCCTTTAACATCTACAGGTAGTCGCGCTGTTTTTTTTGCCTTGCAATCATGAAGTCAGTTGCAATACGAACAGTTGCGTTTGCTCCTTCACTTCACCACATCGGCAATCCGCACTGAACTTTCCCCCCCCCTCTCCACAGAATGATTCATGTGCAACCGTTCCTTTGCTTTCCTTCTTCCTCTCCCAACCCCCTCCCTCCCTCCCTCCTTCCATCTCTCCTTTTAGAACTGATTCATTGTGTGTAGGCTCCTGTTCCCATTTTAGGTTTGTGATGTTCCCAAGTGGATTTATACAGATTTGCGTTGATGTGGTGGCATAATTCCTGGATCGAAATTTAACTATCTCTAATTTGCCTTCTTATTTACCATGATTCGTTGTATGGTGCTTTCTTACTTGATATCCTTTCTAGCTTAGCTCCATTCTAGAATGTGCTAGAAGAAAAGGATATTGTAGCACTAGATCAATGAATTGCGTAACGTCCTTACTTGACGTCTTGTTACTATTGGTTGTTATGTCGGTAGTGGTGTCTTCATATAAAATGTTAAAATATCGTATTTTGGCAATATAACTGCCGATATGTCTGGTATCGGTCGATTTTGAAGTCTTTGTAGAAGAACACTCCTTACTATGCTAAGGAGTGTTAGTGGAAGAGAGAAGTATATCTTACTGCTATTGATCTTCACTTTAAGGTGGAGTTAAAACAGGGGAACGGTGCTAGATTTTAATTGTGAGAAGACATGAGACGGAAACAGATGCTCAAGTAACGAATGATGTATCATTGTTTTTACTGAAGGCCATATAAAGTAAGGCATTTGTCTACCGATGAGGTACTACTACTCTCTTGACTCGCTTTGTTGTTTACGCTGAATTATGCTGTACTTTTCTCTTATGGTGTTCGTTTTAATTGTAGGAGAAGGCCACGCGTAAACAGCAAGAGGACTATATTCAACAGCTCCAACACTACTACGACAATCTCCTTGCCAAACACGCTGCAGCGGAGATGACGATTGATCATTTCCGTTTTCGCAATCAAGTGGACCCCAACGATGCCTCTCTCAATAACAAGACCCCAACTTCCAACCCCAAAACCCCCTCACACTCCACCGGTCTGTATGGGCGCAAGCTCATCTCCACCTCACTCGACACCTGTTCTCCCGGTCCTCTCCTTTCAAAGTCTAATCATCGTCAATCCCATACCACTGGGTCCCTAATGACTCTTAGAGGGAATGGATCTCCAAATGAGGAGTCGATGCCGAAGAGAATCAGTTCTGTCACCCCTAAAGTTCACCTCATGTCATTGTCTTCGGTGTCACAAAACCCTTTGGAAGTGGAGTAAGTCCTACGCACATTTGTTTGAATTACGAGTTTTTTGGTCGAATTTGGGTTTATCTTTAATAACCGAGACTTGAAATGCTATCAATAGTTCTTCTAAACTGTTAGTCATCTTAACATCTAAATTCGATGCCATATGAAATCGCTACATTTTTAGTTTAGCTGTCTTTTTTGTTCTATTTCTGTAGTAGAATCACTACTTATTTTGCCGTATTCGTAATTACACACAGAATTCTATAGACGATCTTACAGGGAATAATTGTAATTAAGTTGTTAATAGAAAATCCAGACAAGGCATGACGCGACATGCCTTGTCTCCAAGGCGGAGCCCATTTGCCATGCGTTTCATTGCACACACACCCATTTCTCCTGGACACTTGGTAATGGGTAATGCTTTTCTGTCATAATTAATTGAGGACTTTCATCGGTCTTAGTACCTCGAAAGAAATGCGCTCATGGAAGTTGCCCACCTGCCTAATTTCAATCACCTAATTCTCTCATTCAACTTTATGGTAGACTTGATGGAGGGTTCTTTCGCCAAGTTGTGCACACTTCGTTGCCCAATGGTGCTTTAAAAAATCATTGTACGATATTTTAATTTCACTTCTCTATCAACTGCACAAAATTACTTCGCCGCAATACACGAAGGCCATGACTTTTATGGGAAGGAGTATCAATAGCTCTAGACATCGAAGAGTGCAAATCAGGAAAATTATCCCATTCTCCTCTTTATTATGATGTATTGCTAACACCACCGACACTGAGTGTGAACCCGCCGAATGTGTCTTATTCCGACATTTCCGAGAAGCCAATTTATGCCGGCGCTAAGTCTACTGCTTGAGCGTTTAATTACCCTCCTACTTGTGTAGAAGAGGCGGTAGACAGTTAGTAGGGGAGGAGGCGGAGGAGGAGGAGCGGAATGCGTGACCTGACCTCATCTTCCGTTTAGGGGCGCATAGCTGCTAACATTATGAGTCACTATGTGAAGTTAAACCAGCGAGCGAGTCTGTGGTTTATTGAGCCTGTTTTTTTTAAATTTACGTCGCTTATCGAAAAAAATGTTTTTTACTTAGAGATTATCTATTAAACAGCTATTTCATTAACTGAAAATAAAAAAAATTAATTTTGCTGAAAACAGCCCTCACCTTGGTAGTGTAAAGATTCAGGTGTTGCGATTCTGTCTCAGATTTCGGTATTTGCAAACGTTTTTAAAATAAAATTTAAATGTTAACAGGATGGATGTTTGTTATTAATGTGGAACTGATAAAGTTGCAATGAACAGTCGTCTTCCGAGTGTTTTCGGAATTCCAAATGCAAAATCTTCTTTCTAGCGGTCAATCACTATGTAGGCTGTGCCACAGATGATGTTGTATTTTTATTATTGTGCTTATTTCTCAGTAAGCTTCAAATTGTCCTGTTTATGCTTGAATTGATTTACGCTTTCAATAACTGGAAATCCATATGATCAGTAGGGTGTACTGAATTCTTTGAGAAGTAGCTTTATGGACGCTTTCAATTTCATGGCGGTTCAACGCCTCTCCATATTGTCTTCGTATCCCCAAGGATTGTAAGACATTCAACGGATTTTGGTATCTTGTGCTATAATTTCTAACCCTCAAGTGTGTTGCTTATCCTCAGTCTACTCGTAGGAGATGTGCACAATAGGAAAAGCTAAAGCCAGATGTTGAGCTGTATTAGACACTTTCCGTCTACTTAAACATTTCATTCTAATAGGTAGGAAATGACCTAACTTCAGCCTCCGGGATTTTGAATATTTCGAAAAATTGTGCTAATTGACAAAGAGTTCTTTTCATCATCCCACTCCTTTCGAAAATCAAATTTTTCACGTCTGTCGAGTCAGAGTTCTCGTGTTCGATGCCAACTAACGGTCGCGATGGTTAATCACACTGGTTAAGTTTGGCTGATTCCTCTGTAACAGAACTCCATCAAAGTGATCCCTCTGCGCAAGACGAATGTAAAACACTCTCCTAAGTGATCTCGCTTGTATTTTATTAGAACAATAAGTTAGTTGATGGACATTCTAATTGATTCCATCACTTGTATCAGAATTTGAATAGTTCCTCCCCCTATTCCTGTAGTTTATTCATGCATATTGGTGGTCTTTCCTTTTTTTTGCCTGTTTATGCTGCAAGGGCCTCGTGAGTGTTTTTACCGGCTCTTCCCCAAAACACCCCTTTTCCTGGTATTTCTCATGACCTTTCTATGTGTGTTTTCATTTCTCGCTGCTTTGCGCCAGGTGTGTTCGAATTTAACTCACCCGGCCTTCCTTAATAAGGTCAGGTAAAAGGTTTGCAACTTCCACGTTCCCTCCTTCACCTCCACTGACTTTATATCGCAATGATCATTTGTTCCCAATTGAGAAACGTGGATCTCCTAACTAAATTAACTTTAAATTTTTAAACGTTTCTGAGGCTAATTTAAGTGTTCCTTTCACATTCTAGGCCGGACCAACAACAATGCAACGGATCAGCGCCGTTTGGACCGGTCGATGGTGTAAATGAAGGAGATAGTAGTTATCGTAACACCAATCCCTCGCTCAATAACAGCAGAGGTAAGCTTAGAGATTATTGTTAATGAAATAAAAAAAAGTAAATTGTATTCTACCCTCCCGGCAGTTTTATTCTCCGCTTTTGCTTTGACATTCGTTTGTCCACAGATCGAACGAATTGCTTATATTAGTAGTAGAATGCCAAGTGCTATGGAAACTTAGTGTTTTCTTGCATCATAAGGCCTAGTATGAAATCTGAATATCGAAAATCGTGTAACATCGTGACTTTAAAATCGGCAAAGATGTTCTTTTTTCGCGAAAAGGAGCTCAGTCGTCCAGTTGATCTACAGTGTTTATTTCATTAGTTTTTTTATACGTTGAAGATTGAGACCTTGCTTCCATGTTGTTGAATTTGAATGATGCTTGCAAGGTGTGTCGAGATGTTTGTGGTTTTCAAGAGTGAAGCGAAAGTCAATGATAATTGCCGAACATGGCTAACTTCGCCGAGGTATCTAGTTGGCTGGGATGCTCTTCTCTTTATTCACTATCTCCCAATTCTTTGTCCCCCCCCCAGTTGGCAATGCTAACATGACCCTTCTGAGGGTGAAATACCTCTTTTTCTTTTTGGTTCTTTGTTAAACCCCTCAGAAGTTCCTCCTTTTGTTGACTTGGGCCATTTTGTTCGATGTGTGGCATTCATATTTAATCTTTGAAATTCTACTTTTTATTTTTTTGAATTTCTCTTTTCAATTCACTGGTGGTGGAATAATTGCGCCTTTTTAGAAACTACTTTTCGTGCTACTCTTACCCATCTTCCTTTTGTTCTGTAGTAAATGCCACGGAAATTGACCTTTCTGTGAAACCTTGTATTGTTATTTCGCTCTCCCTTCTGCGCACGTGTAAATGTCTCATTTTCGCATTTTGTGGCTAAAATCGGACATTCGCTGAAATTCATGGTTCCTTGGTGTAGTTTCTTATATTAGTAATGCTAACCATTATTCACAGCATGTTGGATGTCACTTGTCAGAATAGTTCCTCTCCTTGCTTTCGCACCTACCTACATATTGTAAGTAGGGTGATTTTCTTTCTTTTAGTAAATCATCTTCATCAGCGCTCTGGTTCGAATGTGGATATGGCAAATCAAGAAGCAGCACGAAGTTTGGAAAGTCAATTAACCTCCTCACTTGATGCACTTCACGACAAGTTAAAAGCTATTGAGGTTCGTTTGTTCGGTGACCATAGGAACGGTGCCTTGGCAGCAATCAAGTCGGAATTAGAGGACTTGAGTCGAAGATATCAAGCTGGACTCTACTTGTGGTCTGAAGGTAAGTAGCGAATGTTCTTGCTAAAATATCCTGCGAAATAAAAAATTTTGGCGTTATTTTTTATTTAGTCCCTGTATTTTGTCGACACTAATGTATTGCTCATATGTGGTCTTATCAAACCACTGTGAGTAATTTTTGCTGAAATACATTTCATTTTCTTCTTTTGCTTTGGCAGGTGGGTTCGATGGCAACACAGTGGTTGGATCTCGTCTTAATCAGCTCATTCAGCTTCTGGAGAGGGTTGGTTCTGGTGAACAAAAGGATGCCACTATTTCTACCCCTACTCGTCCTTCTTCTCTTCGTCTTGTCGATTCTCATCGACCAAATTCAACGGAATTGAATCCAACCACATCTTCTGTTCACACAACCTCTCTAGGTCGGCAAGAAAGCCTGTCTTCACCTGTTCCCGTTCTTCATAATACTGCTGTAGGCGTTAACACATTCAATGATGAACAAGGTAGTAGTTCTGCACCGACGTCTACTGGAAGTAAGTTTTTGAATTTGCTAATTAACAGTTTGTTAATAACATCGCTATTCGTATTACTTTCCTTATGAGTGAAATTTTGACGGAGTACATAGAGTCGTAGAAGTGGGAATTATGGAATCAGGAAGAGAACCCTACATCATCTGAGCTCTAGAATCACCGGGTCAACTGGTGTTTCAAGTTGAAGTTCCTCTTTTCGTCATCTTGATCTGCGTAGGGAAAATCTTGGCACCGAAATTTCACATTATTTCGAGGCTATCTACTTTTTGCATTACTCCAGTAATGCCCCTCTACTGTGAACATAGAAGCTGTCACCTAGTGGGTCATCTCTGGGTTTGTGGTGATTGATCCGCTTATTTTTTTACAAAAATCGATAACGACAAGAATCCACATGAACTAAACACTCTTTTACATGCAGATTCCAGTTTCAGTTAGATTTTGCGTCCTTTTGGTTAATGAGCAATGAATGAAAAATCAGCTGGCTTAGGTATTATAAGTCGCCTTATGCATACTACAAAATTCTAATCACGTAGATATTTTGCATTTCTTAATTTTAAACGTTAGAACCTGCCTAGATAGCTATTTTCAGTGATGCAAGTGGTCAATTTGGCTGGCTACTAAGAAAGCTGGTAATATGGCAATTGGTCAATTAGAGCGACTTAAATTTATTGACCAACACCATTGTACTCATTAAGAATAACGAACTCTTCTTTAGGAAATAGGCCAGATTAGACTCAGAACTCCTCCAAAGCTAGGCAGCATTTTCGGAGTGAGGAGACAAGGGGTTAATTTGGATCTCACGAATAGAGAAGAGAGTGAAGGGTACTCGGACTGGTTGGAACAGGCGAAATGAGATGCACTTTCGTTGCGCGTGATTTGTTGGGTGTGATTTAGTATAATAGTTTACTGCACAACTAATCATTTTCCATTTCGCGCTGTAACTCCAAGTGGAAGGTAAGATGATCTCTTAAAATCCATATTTAACGACTGCTTTTCAACGCATTTCAGTACATTTCTTAAACACTTTAGGTCTAAATACTTTTAACTTTCCTTATATTTTTAGTTCGCCTATAGCAAATTTCTTAACACTTTTTTTTAAGACTGTGTTAATTTTCTTTAATCATTACTAACTGTTATGTTGATTTTTTTATAGGCTCACTTGAATCAGCCGAGTCGTTCTTTGTTCGTCTTCTTGCCCGCTACAATAAGCTCAAAATCACCCCTGGACATTCAAAAGACATGGAGTCTCTGATGCAGGTGTGTTTCTCACTTCATTTCTCGAATGCTCACTCTTTCATGAACCTCGTTTATCTTTCATTTTGAATTCTAGCGAATGCTTCAGCTATCTGATCGCTATTCCAACCAATCCACAGTCATCTTCCCCCCTAGAAGTCTTCGTCGCATGTTTGAGAGTGATTATACTCTCAACACTGGTGGTTAGTATTTCTACTTCGTTTTTTTTACGCGGTTCTTGCCATCTAACGTGCTAATTTTCTCCATTTCAGTAAATGAGCCTCTTGACTCCAGTTCTCAGATCTTCACTCAACCATTGTCTTCTAACGTAAGAGTTGATTTCAATAAGGAATTATTTTGTTCTAGCTAATAAGTGTTCCAATGGGATAATCTTTGCTCGATATGACACTAGTATTGAAGATAAACCTTTGAAACAATAATAATTTGTGCACTCATTAAAGGGATTGGGAATGGAATGGTCTCTAAGTTGAAAGGAATCATTCTTTATTTGCCAATCCTGAAGTCTGATGGGATACTTTCTGCCACCCCTCCCTCCTTAGGTACTTTTGCCCACCATTGTAATATCGTCTACTGTTTGCAGACTATAGAGTGCCAAATCAGTAGCTTCTGTCGTAATCCTTAATCCATTCGATTTATATGTTTGCTCTCTTTTTCTTGCCTTTGAGTTCTGTTATCTCTCCATTTGCCCTTTTCAGATGGTTAACGATGCCTCTACGAAGCCCCGTCAGATTATTAGTCCAGACAGCGGTGTTGCCCAGACCCCTCTCGGAAGTAGCGGCAGTAGTGGAACTAGTTGCTATGGTGTTGCTATACCCTCTCGAGCAACCCATCTGGTGGGAAACTTCAGGGAGACCTCGGATTTCTCTCGTCCAAAATCTGCTACTGCCCAGACTGTAACTCATGATGCACCGACCATGGATGCAGAGCGAAAGCAATCGGACAGTGGTTTCTGGGCAACTGATAGCTATTCTGCCGCGCCGGCACCGCTCTACAAGGGTGCTAGCATCCCCTCAACACAATCTACCGAACATAGTGATGAAATCAATATCGATCCGAATGCTGGGTTAGTTTTGAATTGGTGTCAATATAGGCCCCATCGTTAACAATAATGGGTATTCATTTCGGTTTTAGTTGACATTTTCATGTAAATCGGTATAACTGTATTTCATTGTTTGCGTTTTATGAATGTGGAGTGTAGTTAGTTTTCTCATTGTTCTTTTTTTATTTATTTTCGTAGTTGCAATTGCTGTGCTTTGGTTGCTATTTGAGTTGTTGATCTTAGCTTTCCTTACTCCTTAGAGCATACAGCTTCTTCCTCATTCTATTCCACACAAAAAATGTTATATCTATTCAGACCATCCTTCATTGTTACTAAGAGTTAATGCAAGGTTCCGTTGATCTTGATGGAATACGTCTTGGCTAGATTGCGCATTCATATACTTCGTCACGTTGCAAGCCTATCTAGGCTAAATGAGCGCCGAGTATTTTCTCCTTTCGCAGATCCTATAATAATAATTCCGCACCGACATTATAAAGTACAAATAACGATTATCCTTCTTTGACAAGAGGACACCTGTGACCGTCTCTCAATATAGCACACGCTCCTCATGCTTCTATGTGATCATCACCTTGTTGTTGGTGGGATATATCACAAGAATTACCTCAAGTTGAAACTGAAATCATATACGCAGCTCACTGACATATACTAGCACTCGTGTATTTTAGTTTGAAATTGCTAAAGTGTTGTTTTTCATTCTCCTTGTCACTATTTTTTTTTCTTCCTCTTTGCAGTCGTGCATCCAAGATGCTTCCCGACGAGGTAATGTCTCTGGAGGCGGACATTAAGCGTCTCCGTGAGGGTATTGCCCGACTCACGTCCTCCGCGTCTGTCTCTTCTGGTCCACTATATCGCGATAACGTCGCAAATTCAGTTTCATCTTCGTCAACTTGCGAAGAGCAGCCAAGAAGGTGAGTAGCATTGCTAGCAACTATGAATATGGTGCTGTTTTTTCTCTCTCGCTATACAATGCACAAACTAGACTATTTCTGGTCTTCTTACTACTGTCATTTCGGCTGCTTAGAGCTCCATTTGAATATGACCTTCGCGACGGTTTGTTCTACTAATTTCTTTTCCAATACTCTGGTTGTCTGCAAGACATTAAAACTTCGAAAATTGAGGGCAAATCTTTGCGTCATGGAGTTATGACTTTATTGCTTGTTTGCTCAGAACTGAAGTTTTTTTCAAATTTGAAAGTGTATTTCGAGCATATGATGTCATTGTTTTTTTTCTTTAAGTTTTCACACTTGGAGAACATAGAATTTTGTCGTTATGGTGATAAGGCTTCGATAATGACTTGTTTCTTTGTTGTACCTTTTTGGCGGAACTGTTTGGTACTAGCGCTTTATTGTCTTCTCCTCTGTAGGAAAAGCTCTCGCAGACAAACTCTGGGCAGTAATAGAAAGTCCAACACCATGGGTTCTTCAGCGGCAAGGCTCTCCTCCCTCACTCGCCGTCGACCCCGTCTTCCAAATTCATCATCCAGTTCTTCAGACGATGATGGAAGAGGAACGACATTCTCTCCGTATGCCACCCGTCCTCGTTACCCTCATTCATCTCGTAGCCGCAATCGCCGGTCACTAAACCCCAGCTCTCCACCACTCGAAGTGATTGGCTCTTGCATAGATCCCCAGCCGCGAAACCCTCTTCCTGCACAAACCCGTGTCTATCGTCGCAATTCCTCCACCTCGCGTGGACATGATGAGCTCTCCTCTGTGAGCCACAGACGCAGTCATAGCACTACAGGGCGATCTAGGAGTTATTATCATCCTTGTGGAAGTTGTGGGGGAAGCGGTTATAATATCAACGTAATTGGGCGGGAACCAGAAGGCGAATTCGCTTACGAACCGCCTCTCCACAATCATTCTATCAGGTTCGCTTACTTTGAATGAAAATTTTCTCTCTTTTTCACTTCTATGTCTAATAAGATGTGGTTGTCTAGTTGTGCAATGTCAGTTCCTGTAATACACTTGAAAGAGTGAGTTCCTTAGTGTGTCATTCGCTGTCTTTTGAATATCGCCGTTTTTAGATATACAAATACATTTTATTTGGCTCTATCTACCTTTCATGTAGACTAATAATACTAATAATAATTTAAGCACTATTTATTGTGTCAATTTGTATAGCGATACATATACGATGCCGACTCGAGTGATCTACGAGTATAGCAGGTGAGTGTTTGTGATCTAACATGACTTGATGTTTTTTATTCGTTGCATGGTTTCGCTCGCTAGTTTATCGTACCATTTTACTGCTGCTCGACTACTGAATTGAGTTTCAGTAGGTTGAATTAATGAAATATTCCTTTTGGGCTCTTTTAGACAAGGACCTGTGATTCGATTGCCGAATCACGATTACAGTGGGTGGACTGAAAGAGTCTATGGAATGAAGGAGGTTTATGGTTCATCGGTTTCACCGCAAACTGGTCGGGCTTACAATACTATTGGGCATCAACCTTCAACCAATTTGAGGTAAGTGGAATTAACTGTTTTTATTAAACCTCTTAAACCATTAAATTGATATATGGGTTAGATACATCTTGGGTAAGGCTTTCTGCTGCTTCTGAGGTTGCCGTTCGTTGTCAATAATCAGAACAAATCGTAATTGAAATACGAGTCGGATTGCTGTATGCATAATATGTTGAAATGGTGGGGGGATATGATTTTGAACTTTAAAAGCTTGAAATCTGAAAGGCAAGGATTTCTTGATATAAACTAAGAATTGCCCTCTTGCAATGAAATACTTGAATCCTTTGGTTCTTTTCGGTCTTGGTTCGAAGCTGGAAGGCAGGGAATAACGATGTCTGTCGTTTATTAATCTGATGCTTTTTTTTAATATTCACGTATTCCAAAATCACTTTGTCAGCTTAAAAATTCTAAGCTTAAAACTGGCAACGATTTCCGAAATTCGAGTTATAGACTTTATCGTTATTACCTATGAAAAAAACAGATGTTTTGCAACTTTCGTTCCTACAAAGGTATCTTCAGGGCTTCTTAATTCATCTTTTCTTTCATGAAACCAACTTCCTTCTCCCAGTTCTTGTTGTTTTAAAGTTAGAATTCATCCACCGTCAGAGAATCCTTAGATGGGAATGCTAACAGTTAGATGTAAAAGTACTTTTCTTTTTATGCCGACTATGCTCTTCTGATTCTAATAGGATAGCAAATGTCGGGGTTACCAATTTGTAAGACATCACTTTAGCCTTATAGTAATTATATGGCACTAATAACATACGCTAGCTTTTTATGGCAAAATTTAAACGTGTTGTATATTGCTGCTGGGTGCAAATTCATTGGCTAGCGATTTGCAGCCAGATCACCAGGTTACACAACAAAAAGAATGCAGTGTGGGAGTGCCGATGCCGCAGACACGTCTGCGTTTAGGTTTAAGGTGATCAATCGGTCGTTTAAGATGAGTGGTAGACCCTGTTCTTATCCACACATCTCCAGAGGTCACGGCAAATCATTGCAACTTGCAAGTATTCTTATTGCGATTTGTATCGGATATTTGTTAAATAGTATATTGAATAGACTTAAGAGAATTTTTTTGCTTTTCAGACAAAACTGGTTAAATCCTAATCAGCCCGCATGGGATGTAGCTGGTCGACAGTCTGGTATGATGCCCGCTACATCCTCGCCGATCACTCATCAGAAATCTACCCGAAAGACGCGCCAGTACATGCCTTCTGTTGGGTCGAACAGTCTCTTCTATCATCACAGTCAACTGGAAGATACGCTTTCTTCGGGATCTGATGATATGGAGGCACCCCAGAGGGATGTTGCCGTTCTCCCTTCGTCAAAATCCTTCCGCAATAATTCGAGTCGAAATAGGCGCAGGAGTGAATATCGGCCCATGGTAAGACTTAACTGAATTTTCTAATATCACCTTTAACTAATTATCTCTTGCGATTTTTGCTTTATGATAGCAACCTGTTTAGGAGTTCGCTCTGATGTGAAACTCCTACTTTGTCTGAATTAAGCGGTACGGTTGCCTACCGTCACCACCACCCTTTGCTACCCTATGAGAGCTGATCTTGTGGACTCTGTGTGAGCAGGTTGATACGTTGGCTAGTGATTTGTTTGTCCGTCCGACTCCCATCATTTAAATGCACATATCGTTTTGTCCACAACACTTTTTTTTATTTGTACTGCTCTGTCATCGAGTTTGTAATTGTACTTCAACCTGAGGACTCGACGTTGAAGTTTCCCTACTTTCCTCTTGAAGCGTCTATTTGGCATCTGTGCGGAGTTTAGCTTCCATGTGCAGCTCTCTTTCTGAAGCACTTGTCCATTTATAGTTGTGTTGCAACAGGTTTTTTCTCTTTTGCTCAAATTATTGCAAAATTTTGCACTTGACTCATTTTAAATATGTCACACGAAGCTAAGAGATTATTTATGATGGGTTTGATCCCTTTTCTATCTTTATTTCCACGAAAGCCAGCCTTATTTCCACATTGATGTCAAATTTGCGATAGCATTGTCATTACATTTTAAGACCGTAATTTGTCTGTGTAATCTGTTCAATCTCCCCTCCTCTCCAGCACTATCTACATGTTGAATCTAATCTTCTTTCTTTTGGCCTTAGTCCACCGAACAGGGTGGTTTCTCATCCCCAACAAACCCAAGTATTGATGCCTTTTCAACAGCTCGATCAGTCACTCAGATGGCCCACCAGCTGAATAACAAGCTCTCGCGTCACTCGGAGTGTCGGGAAAATGCGCCTCATCAACAGCGATCTTTTCAGCAACTGCCGTCGTCTTCCGTCCGACATAGTAGCCGTTCGCGCCTTCAGAGTAATGGAAGCTATTTGACCACGACGTTGGATGATGACAACGACTTTTAACAAATTTTATACCCCTTACATGGCGCTCATTCCTGAGTAATGCCATTAATTATTACAAATCATATCTGAATCTTAAATATCTATACGAACACTTCCTCTCTCCCTCATCACCTTTTCTTTGTATTGTATTTATTGACTATATCACGGAAAGGGCTCTTCTCTTTTTTTCCTTTGTTGGCAATCATGAATTGGAATTTTGCATATTATGGGTTGTTTCTTCAATAAACAGTTGGTTATTTGTTAAATGGACTCTTGCAGTGTTTCCTTTCGACTGGCAAGTTAATACTACTTAGTAATAGTTTGATTATAACTAATACAATTAAATTACTTATCCCTAGTAAAAATTATGAGTAGCTCTTTTCGAGGTCCGATGGAAAGCTAAAGGGGACCTAAAGTGGGTCCAATCCCGAGTTAGGCTTGAACTATTTATGCGAAAGCCTTTGCCGGGTTACAAGACTACAGATCCCGGTTGGAGAACAGAGAGGGAGGAAGGTGTAGAAAGGGGAATTGGAAAGGAAAAGGATGACGTCATTGCTGAGCGAAGACAATGAAGTCGGCCGGGTTGCGCGTTCTTTGTTCATTAATGAGAGCTTGGCAGTTGGGGCGGAGGTGAGCAAAGCATGGAAACTAGGCCGGCCTTTGTATCAGGATACCCAGTCACCGCAGTGCAGATGTTGCCGAAATAAGGCACTTATCTATATGGCTATGGAACATAAACGGCGGTAGTAAGTACCAAGAGGCGTAAAGGTTATGAATTGTGAATCCTGGTGAGAATTTGTCTCATGTGGGATGCCGTCTCTGCTAGCTATCGATTGGTTCATTCTCCACTTGTGTTTCCCCATTGGTTACCAAGTTAGCCTAATTCCCACTGCTCAAACAGCAATGTGTATGGTGACTTGCAGTATGGCCATATCCCTTTTTGACTACATTACGGCCACCACTTCCTGTCATTTACAGTCACTTAGACCACTTTCTCCAGGCGGGAATGAATTCGAAAAATGACATCTAGAAAATCGTATTTTAATACACCGAAATAAAGATTGAATACTTTGGAGTTCAGGGTAATTGAAATTGTCCTATTGATGTTAAGATCGATGGGGTGCGCGATAGACTTACCTCCACGTGGTGAACCCTGTATACTCGTACGGCAAAAAAAGTCTTTAAACCGGCAGTTGACTTCAAATTCTTATGACTCGACTGTATGTCAGATTCGACCACTAACACAGTGCTCACCTTACCTTCTCTACCTTTGTGTCTGTCTCTTCTACATCTGTGAATCAATCTTCTGTTCCCTCCGCCCTCGACTTTTGTGACTTCGTCTGTTCCTCTCCTCTGTGAAGTCCGAAGTCAACTAAAGGGCTACTGATAACTATCATAAAGACTCCCATTAATTATAAATAAATTAATGCTAAGGTCAGTAAATTAAGCATGCATAAATGGAACAGGAATTGTACGAGGAATACTTATGACAAAGAGCACTATCAAGCTTCAAAGTTCAAAACAATAGCCTCCACCAACATCCTCATTCAAGACATTAATACCATGCGTTCCGTAGGCAAATTAGTGTAATTCGCATTGAGTTTACCTAGGGTGATCTCTGTTAATACTGATTTTAGCCTTGCTTCTCCTGACTGTCAAAATGTAGAATGTATTCAAATGATACGACCAACCATCTACTTTTCCCATAAGCTCCCTACATCATGGACGAAAATTTGCTCAGAAATTTTGGAGACCAAATATTGGATTAGGAACTGTAGAACGATGGTGTAGGAGACAATTGTGACCTGCCAGACTTGTTTGGCTAGCAACCACGTCAGCCAGTTCGGAAGTAACTGCAGCCAAACATGGGCGAAAGGTGAGCCAGTAAGAGGCTACCACCTTGAATGAACTCTACTTACAAACTCCCACTTACAAACAATCTTTCTCATGGTTCAAAATGGCTAATTCTCAAATCATTGCGTTGACAGGCCAGATTCGAACTAACTCAACTGATTGCATTTACTTAGAAACATCTCGGCATATTCTTTCACAAGGAACCTCTCCGACTTAACCGCCCCCCAAAACACACGCTACCCTTAGTCATTACAACGATGAAGCAATTGAATGGTTGGCGCATTAAGAAAACAACATGATTAATCTGAAAATAAAGTCCCTTTTTATTACCTTCCAATCAATGATCATATAAAATGTATGGGAATGTTACAGTCATAAGAATATCATACGTCATAAAGTTTGCGCACCCTAAATACTCAGAGCAAGGATACAAAGAAAGAGCAATTCAAAAGTGATTTTTCACCAACTAAGTCGGGGTGGATCGACTTTGAAATAGAATAGGAAGAAGTAAAAAAAGAAAACGGGGAAATCGATCTCAAAACCCTTCGAATTCAGGGATAAGAGGAGCAGACGCTTCAAGTCCAGGAGTGGCTGATCGCGGGCTAAAGCCATCTCGAAGTGACCAACAAAAGGCGATAACAGCTCGCAATAGGAGGCAGATAAGATTTCCAGTGGCAAACACGCCCCCCACAATGGCTGAAAGACGTAAAAGAAGTCGGACTATGGAACCACTTCCCCCGCCTCCCGCCAGAGCTTCCACTTCAACTCGAACTGGAAAGGTGTCGTACCGAAAGAAAATGCCAGGAACACCTTGGCCTTGATTGTTTTGGCTAATCGAGCGCGCCTAGAGGGAAGTCAAACTCAAGATAAAGTATACCGTCTCTTCAGTCTCGTTTTCTAGACACCAAATTCTGCCGACTATTAAATACTACGTTTGAAATTGAAGCTAAACTAGATTATGGAATGAATTTCAACATAAATAAGTCCACATAGCTTAACTTTATTCATTTAACTAAGGTCAATCTGGGAAGCAAAACTGTCCAAATATAATTATGAAGATTTCACTTCATAAAACAATAATAGTAATCAATTTAAACGCTTTCATATTGTCAACGTCAAATTTCAAAGCAATAATATTACCGGTCCACCCGTGTAGTATAATTAGCTAAGGAATTATGGGTCAAAAAAGACCGACACTAAGTAGCCAATGTGATTGACTTAAACAATAATTTTACAATACCCACTTTCTGGCTTGCACTTGGAATTCAGAACTCTTTCAGACAAGATGCTCGCAGTCTACGTTCCCTCCCCCCCCCCCATCAAAAAAACTGTAACTTATACGGCGGTTGTTTCCGCTCATTTTGTCAATGGGGTGTCAAGCCTTGAAAAAAAACGTTGCTGGCAGAAACGAGGCAATACACATATTCGCGGAACACTCGCGCCAGGTAAACGTGGCATGAGACATGATGCTGGCTTCCTAAATGCTACTCAAACAAGTTTTCGTGAGCTGGCATTATCCTGCCAGTGGGGCTCCTAGATTCGTTTATTCCATTAAGTTCTCTATCGAAAGACTCTTGATTATTTATTTATTCCCCAGTAAGACCTTCATCTGACGTTCTTTTTCTTATAGATATGGATTTAGTTTGCTATTGATTCTGTAAGGCAATCATCACTCTTAAATGGGGTTTAATTTTATATATATAAAAAAAATAAAATAGCACCTAAGTTAATGTTTGTTTCAGAGCATTAACCAAAGACGATTTTTTACAGTATATTAATAGTAAATGAAAATGAGATTTGAACTACTTGTAAAAATGACTAATAAATTTGAGCGCATAAATTAAGGATGGCTTTGGAAGTACTCTGAACATTCATCGACCTCATTGAAGAAGACCAGAAGAGTAATGATGAGCATACCTGTTCAGTGACAGCGTACTGGTAGGTCTTGGTTTCTGTTAAACTAGTCCTGAATGTCGTCGGTATCACCTCTATGAAGTACTGGTACATAAGTGTGGCTAAAAGAACGACAGCAGAAGCTAATTGCAGGTTAAATGTATTTAAGGAAGCATAACATTTTAAAGGCCACTCTCCGCACACAAGAAAATAAGCAGTTACAGATGCTATATCACGTTGTGCATTAACGCGCAACCTACTTTTCAATAATTAAATTGATCGTTCGTACTTTTCTAGAATGAAATTAGAGAGCGTTTGCAATATTGAACAAGTATCTGTCTCGAATGAAGAAAATCAAGTTGAAAACAAATTGATAAAGGCAGAAGGAAAGCTTCAATGTTCCCCTCATTGCTATGTCTCGTCGATTTTCGATACTGACTCTACCTTTGGGTTTTTCGTGGTGTAGACATCTATGAAATAAACATGTAGACTGTGAGATGTGTCAGCAGTGCGCAATCCTCCACCATTCAACTAAGCCTCTACACTTGTAGACAGTTGCGATTAATATTTCTCCAAGCTGGCCTATGTGCTATTGCATTTAAAGATATAACTAAATAATTCAGTCAGCCAAGACAATCACAGTATCTCCGGGTAGTCACTTACGATCATTATAAATGATCTCCTCGGCATCAAGAGGATGAATAAAATTGGGAAGAGGCGAACCGAAGGACAAATGATGAATGCGATGGGAAAAGTTTCTTACTGAAAGTAATGCGAACGACCGTTAATAAAAAATGCTTAAATCCTCAGAAGTTCTGCAACTGCATCTAAAAGACCAATTTACCTCCATTAGAGCTCAAGGGAGCAATATGAATGTGCACATTCGAATTCAGTTTCAGAGGTCTGTAGAGGAAATAAATTTAACAAATCCGAGATATATAAATCCGCATATATAAATACAAAACATACTTCCCAGTAGTGATGTGCAAATTTCCCGGTGATTTCCTAGCCATAAATGTTCCAACGAAGCGACAGGCATCAGCTTTACTTTCAGAGACTTCATCTTCGCGATAATGGTGAATTGGTTGAAGGTCAAATTCTTCGTTGTCTATCTGAGAGCTCCAAAAGTATTGATACAAAGTATGATGCTGTTCTCGAAGAAAGTTCATTTGTTCTCGTCTTGCCTGAAATAGTAAAGTCAGATAAAAGGGTAAAAAATTAGAATAAAAATTTAGCTGTGATTACGTTGAATCTTTTTTTTCTTTCAGGGGCTAGCTCAAATTTGCTATTAATAACTTTCAAATGACTAGTAGACCCGAGACCATTGCCATTTAGATCGACAACATCAATTGATACTTCTATTTTCAAAAATGTAATAAAATGTAGACACAAACAAACCCGAACACTTCATTGCGACTGTCATATCAATATTAATTGGCAGTTCCCTAGAGATAATGAAAAAACCATTCACCCTACCCTTCAATCGAATCATCAACTAAATAATGAAAATTAACTTCCGGATTGGTAAATCGATTGAGCTCGGCGATTATAAGCATGAAAATAATCAGAAAAGTAATAATTGAAGCTAAAATTTAGAGAATTAATGTTTATTTATACCTCCACCACCGCTACTTGTATAGTTGATACATTCCTGAGGTAATTTTTCAAAAGTATCGATCTTCCTTATTTTCTCAACAAACGTGTCCGAGTCGTGTTTTTCTTTGTTATAAATAGTTCGATGTCTAACCTCCATTGAAAAAAGCTTAAGTGAACGAACCAAGCAACGTTCGGGAGAAGCCTTGACTTTCAACTTAGGTATCAATTACGACGGTAGAATAAACAAAATTATGCTAAACATTCAGAAAAATGCCAAAATGCATAAAATGCAATAAATAAATTAAAATTTGATTACCATTAATGAATTTTCATAGTAAGACGTGAATGCAGATGAATTTTAAAGTTTTTTACAATGTCTAGGAAGGATATATAAACTCGTATTTCTAAGCCGAAATTTAAGTTTATTTTGCATTTGTCTAACTTAAGCCTTATCAAATTTGCTATGCTTTGATATATATGCTTAACTAAGAACACGAGTTGTAACTTATTTGCAGACAGACAAAATTCCTTATCATAAAGTAATTTCGTCCAAACACTTTTCTTTTAGGTAATTTTTCGTTAAAATTTATAACTTACACATCTGAACCGTTTGAAATGTTAGATCTTCTTTGAAAATAAACGTTTTTTGGATTTATATTTAGTTGACCTATTTGCTTAAAGTCATAATTTATAATATAGTTTACATCATACTTAAGACAATTTTTCATAATTCCAGTATTTTTTTTCCACTAACAGATACGTACTTAGAGAGAAAACACTTTGACAACTAAATGAATCGTAGGTTGTATTTTAAAATAGACTTCGCTACAGCAAATCGATCATATCCGGGATTATTATCACTTCATCGTAATAATATGGTAATTGCAATTCTGATGCTCTCAGTGTCACTTTATTGGCTTTCAACATTAACTTGTGTCGAGCTCGTTTAAATTAACTTTCACAACCAAGGCTAAATATTTCCAGATAAGTGGTTTCATCTATTCTAAATAGGCAGGTGAAATTTCGCATTAGTTATTTAATTGATTACGATATCTTCATAAGTGGAAATTTCACATCGCAGTCTTAAAATATCAAACTGTTATTTATTTTTGTGGCTTATGTTGTTTATTAATAGCAAATGGTTAGAATAATGGCTATCAGTCAATATTTCGAAATTTCTCCTTTTTACTCAACTCCATATAATTTTAGGCAACTGAGTCAATTTTTACCTTCTTCCTCCAGCATGTAAAGAACATGTTAACCTCATAAAAGCTGGTACTATCATGACTTCAATAAATATTAAAAAACAAGCTGAATTGTATAAACTAACATTCCTAACTAATCAATCAATTGATACGTATTGTACATTTGGAACAAAAGTCTTAAACAGGTTTTGAAATTTGACTATCGGTACCTGTAGTAGAGAACTATGTGATACTTTGGTAACGTACAATCCGTAACTTAACATTTTCGAAATTAATGCCGCACAAATAAATTTTGAACTTGCTCAGATAAACTAAGGTTGCTAAATAAATATTTTTTCAGGCGCTACAATAAAAAATCTTTCGCATTTCCGAAAGCCTTATTAATGGGTAGAGCAAGTTCCACACCCACTCTTGGAATGGGAACTGATTAATTTACATCTTGAAGAAAGACTCCCTGTATTTCCTCAATTGCTATTTAGTTCCATCGATTAACATCTTTATGTTGCTTCAACTCATCTCTCCACCTATCTTCTTTAGGCGAATTTATCCTATTCCCCATTTCCAGTAACTGTCCGGCTTTGTTTCAAAGTGTTTCGGCACACACATCCTCAAGCGTACCTAAGCCCATATGTGACTCATGCTAACTATCTTTGTATTTTCTCTTGTAAATGCATGCACACAGGCTTCTCGTAAGACTCCTTCTCCCCTATTTGCTCACTCTTCCATCTCTATTGCACTCACTCGTTTCCTCCTCGAAATTTACTGAAAGCACTTTGCCCTACGCAACACCCTGTGTTCCACTTTTTTAAATTTTTGTTTGCTCTTGTTATAACTGCTAACTATTAGTCATAACTCCGCAACTTGATCAACTAGGCTCTTATTGGCAAACTCCTGAGATCTCTAACCACTGACGCGAACAAACCCCAAATTATCAGAGTTTAAAACAGTTGAACCTACAATTTATTCAAATAGAGTACAAACTCTCGTTCAACAGCCTCATAAAATACTAGATCAAATTATACTTAATTACATAAATTACGCAAAGATGAACTACAAATTACCTACAAAGTGAGATGTCGTAGTTTTGAAGCTTTCAGATCTATACTCAGTGATTTGAATGAATATTTCACATAATTAGAATCATCGGTTTGACCATATGATGAACTATCACCTAATTTCATTGCAAAGTTAGCTATAACTTCAAGCTCCTACCAATTGGCGTTTCTGTTTAGTATCAATGTTGGAAAAATCAGACTTCTTGTTATAGTCTTTTACGCTTTTTAGAAGGAAGCTAATTTTAACCTATGTCTTCGCTTACCTAAAATTGGCAACTACTGTCACTTCCATTCAGCGGCCCTCAAGCCTAAACGCTATCCATCATTTCATTCAAAGTGACTCTAGATCACATTTGGGAGCTCATGAAAACACATGTTGCTAGGATCGATATGTACGTAATGGCAATGGCCGGTGATCTCTTCAAATTTTTTCCTCAAGGGATTTTCAGACCGTTTCGTGGCGAAGATCTTACCATTTTCCGGACAGAAACCAGAGATCGATAAGCAAAGACAGAAATCGAAGTGACACCACAATTTATTTGTACAGATAAATTTTCCAAAAAAGCAACTCTCTTGGCACTTGCAAACATCCCGTCCTACACTCAATAATGAGAGATACGGAAGAAGAGAAGGAGAAATAGGACAGACGCAATGTGTTGATTGAATAAACACCAAACCACTCCTCCCTCAATGGCAGGTGTTATTGCACTGTCTTCCTCAGATAGTATTGGCATCAACGGTTAGAGAATTGTCGGCGCTACACAGCTGATACACAACTTGGACACGGCTATTTGTGTATGCGTATACATATTCAAAGTAGAAAACTGGGAATTGTTTGTAGAAAAGTGTGAGAGAGCAAAACCGTCCATGCTGCGATAAGCTGCTAGGTTCACCGACTCAAGTAATGAGAACCCAGGAAGATAGGAGAAAGGGTAGGGGACTTGTAATAAGTGAGCATATTTGTTTGTGCATAACTTGTAAATAACCGGGTGAGGTGGAATTCAAGTTACAGTCGATTGGAATTCACGCAGATTCGTATGCGCTAGTGATTTAAAAGTATCGTATTGCACTGTTTTTGTGAGAAAACATAGAATGTGAGTGATAAAGATACTACTGTTTTCGATATGTAAGTAGCGTGCAAATAGGAGTGTGTCAGAAAACCGGTAAGTAGCAAGAGAAAGTGGTATGTGCGAAGAAACCAAAATACATTAGTAATAATAATATAAAGAAACCAAGTTGTAATAAAACAAAGTTAATAATAACAGGAAGGAGGAGGTTGAGAGATAGAATAGGAGTATTCCAGTGTGCAAAATTGAGAGATACTTTTTGCATTCGGAGTTTGCAAACGACATTTAAATGCATACCAATTTGTTCTAGAACTAAAAAGAAAATACGGATCGGCTCCACAAATTATAAAGACGAGCTAAGTGTGCTCGTTTTGTCAGCATCATTGGGTGTCGGTGTGTTTAGTCGAGAAGGTGGTGAATCGGTATCATTCTCAGCCTTCCATTCTGCGTCTTGACTTTCTGTGAGCATCTGCGGTTCATCCCCATTCCAGAAACCAGGTCCGGTACTTGGTTCAGTCTTTAACACGAGGGATGTCGTGTTTGGAGTCATGTGCTCCGGGAGAGGTACAAATTGTGACACCGGGGGAAGTTGGTTCATAGAATGAGGAAAACGATTTCCGTTCCAGGATTCCATGTTGGATGCCGGGGCTCCCGGGACAGTGCTGGAATTATCTCCCGTCGTCAACGTGCCATAGCTGTCTCCCTCCTGATGGCGGTTATAAAAATTGACCTCAGATTGATCGAGCACTCCCGAAAACTGCATTCCATCAACATCCATTGAAATGAGACCTCCAGCGTTGGCAGATGTCAGATAACTCTCAGGACTGTCAGTTAAGCATGTTGGCATTTGGAAACGATAATCCGGACAATGTGTTCTGATGATATCGACATACTGCCGGCAGGTGGTTCGCCATAAATTAATCTGCCGAAGGAGTTTATCTACCTCTTCCTTCAATTGTGCAACTTGAGCTTGTAGTTCATTAGTGCGATGCATCTTGCGTTCACGACATTTCTGCGCCGATTTACGATTCCTTTCCCTGCGTTTCATTCTTCGCTCGGCTTCTTCTTGGTCGACCTTCAAAGAAAGGTAGAATTATGAGTAGTATGGGTAGCAATCTGTTCAACATCAAGAGCGAACTCAAATTATAATTACGACGGCGTCTCTTCGTCTTAAGCTATCGCGCAGCAATAGAGAGATTTATGATGAAAACAATTAAATAAAAAGGGCTGGTACAAGATACTCATCTCTCTCCCTATCTACCACTCTTTCTAGTCTTCTCCATTTTTATAGCAACTAATGGTTCAAATTATTCATAGGGCAGCGGTTTTATGCTCGGACCGATCATCATCCCATGTGGTGGATTGCAAGTTCGCACACCGCAGAAAGTTGATGTTATCTCGACGCAATATATATGGATGGACCAAGGGAAGGGGGAGGGGGGGAGGTAGCTATGATTGTGGCAGTAGTTCTGGAAGGGAAGAGGGGTGATAAGCAGCTCGGACCATCTTTGATATATAAAACGACGACCACACATTTTATCACTATGTCCGCAATATTCCATACGGGGACTCTGCACACACACACACACACACACACATACAAATCACGATGTAATCAAAGACATTATCAAAAGAACGAGCAAGAGCAGACTCACTCCCCTCTCCAGTTCCTGTTGACCAATGGCCGTGAGGGTACGGCGTCACTTGCATCGCGTGCTCATACTGTATTCCACGGCACGCAATCTTCCACTCTTACTTTTAACTCCCATTCCCCCTCTTGTCCCTTTAAATTTATACCCTATTGTGCTTCATCCCTCCACCTAAAGCTTCGAGAGCTTGGGAAAAAACCAGCGATCCTTTCCCCAAACAACCTGTTGATTTTGAAAATCGTATAAAAAGAGAAGTCTATCAATCGAAAATGAATAGTCACCGAACCTACCTAATCACCTTAATAACACACAAGTCAGTGTTTGTGCTCTAACTTTGATTAAAAGTATGGAAGTGTGGACTATAGTGACATAATCACTGGTTAAAAAGAAGGTCAAATTTAGTGACCTCGTTGAGTTAATTTAAACAAGCTTAAACCCGCGAGATTTGTTTATATTTTGCTATAATCGAAAATCGTTTAAACTTATTACCCAAATATATCAGGTTACATAAAAACTTATTTACTTCAACATAGAACTTTTGATACCAAATTGATTTACATGATAATTACCATCAGTAACAACCTTTAAAATATCCCAATTTTACCGCTAAATAAAACCAGATAAGAGGCAATCACGTGGTACAAATTAATTATGTAATACTAATACGCACTTGTTCGTTTTTGAGGTTTCTTCGACCAGTGGCCAGTGTAGGAGCTGGCTTCCTCTGTCTCCTTGTTTGAGAGACGAGAGAATTCGCACCGACACCTCCAGATGTGGTCATGGAAAGAGCGCCGGTTGAGGGAAGTGAACTAGCTCCTCTTGTCGAACTCGCTGTAGTTTCTCCATCTGACGAGTGGACACTTTGAGGAGGTGACACCGTGGCAATTGTAGTTCCTCTAATTGGTAATCCACCATTCGTTATGACGTGAGCTTTATCTTCCCTACTGGGATTACTTCCATACCGATAAGAATTGAATTGCGCGTCTGGGGCCAGGTGATGGAACGCAGATGTCGATTTTGCATGATAGAGATCTGGATGACCGTCTGCATAGTCCATATGAGTTATTGAATTTGGAGGAGGATTATTCAAGTATGCTGGGCGAGGCCCACTGTAGGTAGCATTTCTTTTAAGGGTATAGGAAGAGGGTGGATATTGCTGATGATGATCATCATATCCTTGGAACGCAGTGGAGGTTGGAGCCGTAAAATTCTTCCCATTTTGATTGGTAATGACAGTTGTAGTTGATGTTGTAGCAACGCAATTCTTGGGCGGATGGGAGAGCAGACTTTGTGCGGCAGGAAGACTTCCAACATGAGGAGTATTCGGATCACAGTTAAGTTCATTCCAATGTGGAGCATTCATTTGATTGAGAGAAGACCAGGTCGAGTATTCAGATTGGCGTGGACGCATACCAGGGCCGCCCTCCAACGGATAACAATCCGGAGTCAGACTTCCAGTAGAATCTCTCTTATTATAGAAAGGCATAGTAACACTGGAAGTTGGAGATGTTTTCAACGACGATTGTGCAAATGAGCTGTGGTTGTTAGCCACTGATGACATTTTTTGATCCCACTACGTAATCACTACGTAACCTTGACGCGACAACACACAACAGACGATGACGGGACCTTCGCGTGAAAACAACAAATTCTAACTGCTGACTGTGTGTAGACGCTACCAAATACGCAGCATTTATGAGGTGACTCATCAAGCGTGCGCTTGTAGAGAGGTGCTGACCGAAGCACAGGTAGACCGATGTGCGTACGTGATACCAATTTCAAGTTGCTTATTGGTTTATTAGTGATAGCCAATCAATGTCCGCCTCGTCCGCACGAGAAAACTTAATTCTGATTTTATTACCCGAGCGACCGGGTTGGTGGAGGCAAGTGCGTGGGTGTGAGAGCCGAAGTGCGATGTGAGTGATTGCTACGCGCCTCCTAGGCTTATAGAAGCCCCAGCCGGCCGGTCGACCATGCGTGTTGTCAAGATATTAACCCGGCAGTAGAGAGAGGCGGATGGGGGGTATTTCGTTGTAGAGAGGAGATTAACGAGACTAACTAGCTTCCTCCCAGTCCTCGGTTATATATCTAAAAATGGAATTCTGGTACACTCAATTTTAACTATCAAGTCGTCTGTTCCTTGTGCACTACGAGCTCTAAAAATCGTGCTAGAACTCGTAAAATCCTCGACACTTTAAGTTTTATTCCAGTTCAAACAGAGTCCGCCAGATTGGAGATTTAATTAAGTCATAAAATCAAGTAGTTTGAGTTCATATCTATCAACTACTTTAGCTGTCTATTCCGTAATTGTTAACCGGCCAATTTATCAGTTGTAGGTGGCTTTACTTTCAAGTCTTGTTTAATAAAGCAATTTGATAACAAAATAAGCGAGATTGGTCGTTACAATCTAAATCTGCGCATTATTCGTGGTCTCTTTTAAAGGTTATTGAAAAAGAGATTGGACGGGATTATGATAGCAATCTTGGTTCGTGACCTACGTTGGAGACAGCTTTTTCAGAGACGTTTCTAGGCAGAAGGAATGCATGTTATAGCCTCCTGATGAGCAACTCTTGATCTACAACCTCGTTTTTACCATTTTCTATCACATGTTCACTAACTTTGCCATATAACTTTTCCCTCTTAAAATGTGAAATACTTTGTCTATTATTAGTAAAGAAGACAATGTTTAAATAACCATTTAAAGGATGTTAAAAAACTTAGTTTCTTTTAGATACCTTCCATAAAAGGGTGAGATAGAGAAGTTCCCCCCCCTCTCCAGTTTTAATTGAAGAAGTACTGCTTCAATGCATGATGTATACTTTGGGAGATTGTGGAGTGGAGAGTGGGAAAAGTGAAGCGCATGGAGAAGTGTCAAAAGAGATATGTCTATTCGCCTACTCACCAAGCAAGACACAAAAAGAGCGTTGCCAGGGAATACAAAAATATCAATATCTGCTCAATATCGGAAGAGGCAGATATTGCGAAAACTGACTTTGCAACATGAGCTGATTTTGTACACTAGGTGTGTGAGAGTGATCCAGTAATTCTGTCATGCTCCTACTGCCTCGAATGCAATTTTAAGTATCTACGATTTCGATGTAACGTTGGTTATGTGTAACCAGACTCTTTGTGATGCACTGACCTGAGTAGCATCGACTTCCTTCGTCATTAGGATCCTCGACCGTCTCTGTAAACAGTCTTACCTGAAACTATATATCAAGAAGCTATGATGGTTGCTCTCGGGATTCTATTGCGGAGTAACTAATGTACTTATGATAAACATCCACACATTTTGACGAAATAAATCAAACCATTCCAATAGGTCAGAAATTGTTGGAGTGTCTGTGAAAATATCCCACTTCATGGTCCAAAGGGTTAAGGTATAGTTATTTTGGCTTATAAAGATAAATTTTGCAGATGTTATTATCAACCGGTTATGTTAATCAACTTGGCTAACATAATGGAGGCTAATCCTCGAAGAAACCTGGAAATCAAGTTTACTTTGTGGCAGTAAGGGAGGTGCGATAGACTTACCTCCACGTGGTACACCCTGGACAACGTATTCTCATACTGCAAAGTCTATTAACCGGCAGTTGATTTCTCACATCTAATTACCATGACCCCACTGTATGTCATATCCGGTCATTACACAGTACTCACCTTACCTTTTCTCTGCCTTTGTGTCCCTCTGTCTCATTACATCTGCGAATCCCTCTTCTGCTACCCCTCTCCACTTTTTGTGACTTTGATATTCCTCGTCCTCTGTATGAAGCCCGAGGTCAACTAAATGGCTAATGATAACTATCAAAACGCCTTCTATTCGAAATAAATAAACTTTGTGGCAGTAAATTGTTTGCTACTTTAATGGATCATGAAGTTAAATTCTTCATATTATTTATCGTCTACTCAATCCATTTTCTACTTCATAGCGAGCAATTCTGACTGCCTTATTGTTTAGAAAGCAATAAGTTTTGAATAAAGCTATTTTTGACTTCAAAGAAGAACTCGGTTGACATATTTCTCCATGAATCTCTTTATTCAAAGTCAGCAACTACGCCTTGTTCAAAAATTCCTGTCTCATTCAGTTTATGAAAGCTTTAGAAATGTTTAATTTCATTGAATCCAGATTAAAATTTATGTCATCCAAAATCTTCGGGTTTTGAGTCATAGTCTTAAACAATCGCCATTGACTATAGACGTGGAGTTGAAAAGAGCTGCTTTTCCACTTCGTCTAGACTCATCTGTCATAATTTCCATAAGGACAGCTTGGGGATTCAAAATAATCCCAACTGGTACTGAAATTTGATTTCTATGCAGAAGAAATGCAGCAGTACTTTTACTGGCAATATTACTTATACAACGAATTGCAACTGGTAGCAAGTCGAAGGTTTGGATAGAGTTATGGAGGGTTTTATAACTTCTTAATTGTCATTGTTACAGGTACAACCACGCAGACCCAAGGAGAAGAAAAAAGAAGTTCATTTATATGGGCTTGAAATGGATCATACGGGGTTAGTTGCTTGGCTAGCAAAAAAATTCTACCAACGGCCTCTTTGCAGGTGGTCGTACACAAACAAGTGTGACCGTGGGAGTCCAATAAAATCGATAATCCTGTGCTTGAGAGCGTAACAAAAAATATTCGATTAAGGCTTCTAAAAATTACTAACCACTTAATTCTAATTGAGCACAAAAAAGTTTAAAGCAGGGTAAAGATTAAACAAATAATGTACGCAGCTCAGCTTAAACTACAGCAATTTCTGAAGATTAAATTATGACTCTCTCGTTCTTAGAGGACCACATGCCTCGAAAGTAGATCCAGAGTGGAGGAGCAAGAAAGACACTTCACAGCATTCCGAAGGTGAAGTCTTCTTCACGGAAACTTGTCACCTGGTTTGCCATGAAAAAGGCATGGACCTAAGTCATCACGTGACATGACTCTTCAAGAGTGCAATCACAAAGTTTTCACTTTGGCCAATTATTGCTGACCACTGCGAGTTGCTACTCGCCTCAGTAAATGTTGTTAAAGCTTTGGGAGATGTAGAATATAATATTTGATATAAATTTCCATTATATTGGGTTGGCAACTAAGTCATTGCCGTTTTTGTTGACAGATTCACTCTATACTTTCTTTTGTTTTGTTAACGTGGCCAGAGCATCTAACCTATATTTTTTTCTTACTGTATGGGCTTCTAGGTTAATTAGTAAAATATTTTTTTGTTTAGTTCTTTAGTTTTGTTTTTATCCCAATTTAAAAATGAAAGAACAGGACGTACACTTCCGACACATTTTATTGTATTACTTCCGAAAAGGCAAGAACGCATCGCAAGCACAAACGAAGTTATGTGTCGTATATGGAGATGAAGCCTTAAAAGAAAGGCAGTGTCGAAATTGGTTTGAAAGATTTCGTTCCGGTGATTTTTCACTGAAAAAAAATTAAAAAAACCCTTGGTTATGTCAAGAAACTTGATTTATGGATCCCTCACCAGTTAAAGGAAATTCATTTGACGCAACGGATTAGCATCTGTGATTCGCCGCCACTGAAACGCAATGAGAATGATCCATTTCTGAAGAACCTAGTTACTGGCGACGAAAAGTGGATAGTTTATAACAATGTTACTCGCAAGAGATCATGGGTGAGGTGAAGCATGATCAACCAGCCCAAACAGTATCAAAAGCAGCAGAGATTCACCAAAAAAAGATTATGCTGTCAGTCTGGTGGGATCACAAAGGAATTTGTATTTTGAACTCATGCCGCAGAACCAAACGATAAATTCAAATGTGTATGTTGAAGAACCCGAAAAACTGAAGGATGCAATTGAAGATAAGCGGCCGGCATTATCAAATCGGAAGGGTGTTGTTTTCCATCATGATAACCCAAGGCCCCACACATCTTTGGTTACTCGGCAAAAATTATTGGAACTGGGTTGGGATGTTTTGTCACACCCACCATATAGCCCTGACCTCGCGCCTTCGGATTACCATTTGTTTCGTTTCATGCAAAACTCTTTAAATGGTAAAATGTTTAACAACGCGGATGATGTCGGATCACACCTAATTCAGTTTTTTAATAGCAAAGAGCAGACATTTTACGAACGGGGAATTTTTACTCTGCCAGAACGATGGAAAAAGGTCATCGACAAGAACGGCCAATATCTAATTGAATAAAGTTATATTTTTAAACAAAAATTCCGAATTTGCCTTCTTATTTGAAATCGGCAATGACTTAGTTGCCAACCTAATATTTCTTTGACTTTCTTTATACTTCAATATGTGGGTGTGCGGTAGACTTACCTCCACGTGGTGCACTCTGGGGCAACGTATACTCATACGGCAAAAAGTCTATTAATCGGCAGTTGACTTCTGACTTCAAACTACCAAGTCCCCACTGCATTTCATATTCTACTAATTTCACAGTACTCACCTTTTTTCTACCTTTGTGTCTGTCTGTCTCTTTTACGTCCGTGAATCATTATTCTGTCCCCCCTTTCGACTTTTTGCCACTTTGGTGTTCCTCTTCCTTTCTGTGAAGCACGAAGTCAACTAAAGGACTAATGATACCTA